CTGGGGGCCTGTTCCCTCCCTGCCCAGATGGAATCAAAGGCAAACAGGAACCCTGCAGGGCCCAGCTGTGATCCTTGACCCCCATACTCAGCAAGGCCCATTAACCCTATCTTCTTCATACCCCCTAACATATTTTCCCAGCCCAAGAATCTCCGGAAACAGATTCACCTGTATTTGCTCATTGCATACCAGGCAAGTCTCACCCCCTTCTTGGTCTTCTTCCCAAAGGAGACCCAGATCATCCCACCTCTCCTAGTAGCTTCTTAAGAAACCAAGGTAGTTTTGGCCCAAACCCTGAGCCCTTTCTCATTTCTATGCCATGAGTTAAAGAGACCAGGTTGGTTTCCATGGGTCACACTAAACACTGAAGGAGCACTTGCACAGTGAGCAGGAGAGAAGCCGGGACCCCTCATCTTCCCCAGCCAGGGCCCAGCGGGTGGTTCCCCCCCCCCCCCCCCCCGCAGATAAGACTGCAGGGCACTCACTTCTGCTGCTTCACTAAGCTAAGCCATGAGCAGAGGAGGCTGTAGCTCAGATTTTGGGGATTGTCAGATCCAGGTTTTCTAGTGCTGCTCCCAGTTACTCAACTGAAGACATAAGGTGAGACACAGGAGCTGTTGTCCAAGGTCATACTGGTGGCCACTAGCCCCGCTGGGACTATTGTCAGCTGACCTGATTTGTAAGTAAGCTCCCATTACATTAGACCTAGGTGGGGAGCCCATGGAGGGCAGGTGGGAAGCAGAGGCACAGGGCGCCTGTGCTTTCGGAGAGTAGTGGACACCTGTTTTCACCTGCCCCGACCTGTGTGCCTGAGTGGGCCCTGAGCTTGAAGCTGTCCTAACCTGGAGAGAACAAAGGAGGGAAAAAGAGGAAAACGGAGCAGAGGCAGAGGGAAATGCTTGAGTGCTTTTTTCCTGTTTTCTGAATTCTAGGTAACATGGCTTAACAATTTTTTTTTGTCTTTTTCCTTTTTATCGGTACCAGGAATCGAACTCACGACCGCACACTTGCAAGGCAGGTGCTTATGCCGCTGAGCTAAACCCCCAGTCCCAGCTTAAACATTTTTCTAAAAAGATAATAAAAATCGAGCCAGGTGTGGTGGTGCATGCCTGTAATCTCAGTGCTCAGGAGGCTGAGGCAGGAATTTTGCTGTGAGTTCCAAGCCAGGCTGGGCTACAAAGCGAGTTTAAGGCCAGCCTTAACTGCATGGTAAGATCTTGTCTCAAAAAAGATAAAGTATATATAAGCATATATAATAAAAATCATCTGTCGAAAGAGATTATAGGTAACAGAACTAAAGATTTTAGAATCTACTTTGAGTAGGCTGAAAAAGAAAAACCAGGAAGAAAACAAAAGCACAGACATCAAGGAAAAGATGGAAAGAAAATCCAACATCATCCTTTTGGTCCAGCACAGAAGCAGTGTCAGTGGCAGCAGGTCTGGGGCAGCCACTCTGGCTCGGAGCCCAAGCTGCCCACCTCAAGGTCATTCCCATCAGAGGGAGTGGGAGGAAGGAGGTACTTTGGACAATGGTCAAGGGCACCCCAGGCCTTCCCAGGCTCCCACCTAACCTATTGCTCCAAAATAGCCTCTCCTTGGAGGCAGGAAATTCTCACCAAAACCCCAGAAAACCCCAGAAGCCTGAACATGTGTGTGACAGGCCCAGGCCTGGAAGAAGAAAGGCCAAAGAGAGCCGGAAGCAATGGAAGAGGAGAGAGACAGACAGACTGCCGGGAGGGCTGGCAGCAGAGAGGAGACTGGGCCCACATCAGAACTGGGGCAGAGAAGTGGGGTGACAGGGCGGGAGGAGGGGCCATGGGGGTGATCGAGCCTCCCAGGTCTTCCCTCCCTCTGTCTCTCCCGTTTGTTCTCTCTTTTGTGATCTCAAAACAACCTTCAAGTCTGGGCTGGAGGCCCCAGGAGGCCAGTCACTTAGGAAACGAAACTGTTTCTTGGAGACCTAGCTAGCCCATCTGCAGCGGAGCTGCGCCCCCCTTCCCGGCGCACTCTTTCTCCCATGGACTCTCACGTCCGCCCACACCCGACTGCCCAGTGCGGCGCGTAGCCCACACACGTGCAAGCACGCACGCGCACATGTGCACATCACGCGCTGTGTACAGACAACTAATTTGTAATAGGCTGCCCACACACCCAGGTGAGAGCCACTGCTCCTCTTTCGAGGAGCTGGTCCTTTGGAACTGTCACTGAGCAGGTTCCCAGAGTCACCTACCCACACTCTCAAGTCCCCCTCGTTACTACGTGGGCAGCACACACACGGGAGGATGTGTCCCTCTGTCTCTGTGAACCCTCTTACTCTGTCTTGCTTCTGTCTTCTCTGTGTCTTTCTGTCTCTGTCTCTCTGTCTGTCTCTCTCTATCTGTCTCTCTCTCTCGTGCTCCTACTTCTCAGATCTTCCCATACCAACCAAGCTCTCCGTTCTGGACCTCTCAAGCATCCTGCATCCTGGTGACCCCTCTCTGATCTGTGTCTTTCTTTTTTTAAAATTTTTTTATTTTTTGGTGTTAGGGATCAAACTCACGACCTCACGTTTGCCAAGCAGGCACTTACGCTGCTGAGCTAAACTCCTGGCCCCTCTGTGTCTTTCTTTTAAGCCCATGCCTAGCATGGTCATTTTGACCTCCCTACCTCTGGCCTTTGAATCTTTTTCTATGAGACAGGATCTCCTTACGTAATCTAGGCTGGCCTTGAAATCATGGTGATCTTCCTGCCTCAGCCTCCCAAATGTGAGATTACAGACCTATCCTGCCACACCCAGCTCTTTGTTTCTCTCGCTGCAGCATCTTGATTGACATGGGTGGGTACTATCTACTTGGTTCACAGGAAGCAGTGGCCCAACCTGGGCACCACACATCAAAGGACTGAGCAACTACAAGACTAGACCCCAGAACCTCAGCCCTCACTAAGGTGACAGGTGGCCCACGAGGCAAGGGTGAGAGTAGGCCAAGTGCCATCCACCCCTCACATTGACCCCTGAGCCTGTGAGCAGCGCGCCCTCAGAACTGTGCGGGGCCTGGTGCTGGGCATGGCAGGGAGCCCTGCAAACTGCCTGAATCCAGGAAGGGCACAGTCCTTCCTGTTCCTGGGCCTGGCTACAAGAACCAGAGCCAAGGCGTAGAAGGGTCAAGAGGGATGGAATGAAAGTCAGTAGAGCTCAGCGCCTGCAGCTTCCTCTTCTGAGCGGAAGGTGGCCCAGGAGCTCTAAGCCAGGAAACTAGGACACAGCGCCTCCTAAACCCCGCTTATCCTCTGTCCGCCCCCTGCCCCAGGCCATGCCATCTCCTCTCACAGTGCCCACCCAGCTTTGGGCTTCTCCTCTAGAGACTTCATGAGGCAACCCTCCTGGATGTCCAACCACAGCCTTGCTCCTACAGCTACCGCTGCTGCCCTCCCTGTCCCCTCTCCACACAGCCTCTGTCTGTTCCCCTCCATCGCTTCCCTGCCTCTTCTACCCCAGGCCCAAGTCCAAGGTCTGCAGAGGCCATGGAGAGACATGAAAAGGCCCGCGGCAGCCCTGTGCTACCCACCCTCCTGTCCGGAACCCAGGAGGAGGAAGGAGGCTGGGAGTGGGATGTGACCTTCCGGATCCCTGTAATGGAAAATCTCCGCTGTGGGCCAGGAGGGGGCCAGTTATTTAGGGAATTCAGATGTGAGCCCTATGCCCTGAGAGTGTATTTGCTGGAAGAGAGGTTGCTAATCCCTCTGCAGGGAGTTCCCCTGGGGCCAGGGGGCCCCCAGCCCAGCCAGCTGGCACCTTAGGCCTCTGGGCCAAAGCCCCCATCTCCTCTCTCCTGTCCTCCTCCTTCCTCTGCACTTGGGGCTCTCAGCCCCAGCCCTGAGACACTGGCTTCCCCCCACTCCATCTCTGCCCAAGCAGTGGGGACACTCCAGGAGGACCCTGACCTCACTGCTCCAGAATACTTTCTTCAAGCCAGAAGAGACCACCCTTCCAGCCTGCGGTGAGGCCCTGTCCTCTCAGGCTGCTCTTCCAGGTTCTCCCAGGCAGCACTGCAGGGGGCCTCTCCTCCATCAGCCCTCTCTCCTGCCGGTGACATACTTGCCTTCCCTGTCTCCGGAGGAAGAAGCAGTGTTCTTTCTAGTTCATACAGCTGGTATTTGTTATTGTACAGATCTCCAAACACTTCTTAGGTTTTGTTTGTTTGTTTGGTACTGGGAATCAAACTCAGGACCTTGCATTTGTCAGACAAACACTTCTTAGGAACTCTGCACTCTCCTCATTGACTTCCGCCCTTGCCACTGTCCCATCTCGGATGTAGTTTCACTTCTCAGCTCCTCAACAGCAGTGAAAGGAGGTAGATGCATGTCTGCCCCAATAGCAAGAGAGACCAGAACATGGAGACTGTCAAACACCACCAACTCTAGGACCAGGGCTGCCCTCTCAGGTCCCTTCTATCCCTGATCTTCTGGCCACAGGTGTCTGTTATCCTGGAAAGCTGTGGTTACTGAGGTCACCTCTGGGAGGGCTTGGGGACCTTCATGCTGCCTCTTGAACCACCTTTAGCTCCGCAGAGCCCCTTACCCCCACCCCACACCTCAAATGCAGGGAGCAACCTGGGGTTCCAATTCTAATTTACTGGGTTCCAGTGTGCAGGTAGCCTTTCTACAGGGAACACTTTTTTCGTGGGCGGTCAGAGACCTGAGTTCTGGTTCTGTCCTAGCAACTTAAATTGTTTAATTCCTCCCGGCCTCAGTTTTCCCGCCTGGACAAGTAGGGAGGGTTAGAACACATGGCCCAGGGATCCTGAGCTGACTGCTCCTGAGAGCCACATTCCCCCCGCTCCTGGCCTCCCTTTCTCTCCTTCAGTTGTAGCTGCCACAAGCCAGGGAGCTGGGGAAGCCAAGGGGGACAAAAAAAACCCGACAAAATGCACCATCAACAGGCCAGTTGCTAAAGGGGCGGGAGGGGAGGAGTCCTCAGGGATCCTGTTTCAACAAACGTTTCTTTCCGAGGAAGGGAAGGCGGGGGTAGGGGGGAAAGGGACCTATTTAAAGCTACCCTGTTGCTCCGGCTGTCTCTGTCTATCTGCCAGGGTCTCCAGGCGGCTGCCCCAGACAGGCAGTGTGGGCTTGGGAACCTCCTGTGACCTCTCCAGCTTAGGTCCCCTCAGCTGCTCTGCCCCAAGATGGGTCGTGGGGTGAGTATCCCCAAAGAGCAAGGGGCTGCTGTCTGGTGGGGAGGGGGCAGCAGAGAAAGGACCAATGGAAATGGGTGCGAGGGAAGAGGGGAGAGGGAAGCTGAACCAGAGGGAGAGTTTGAGCTGGGAACTAACATTTACCCACATACACAAGGGTGAACAGGTCACAGAGCTCGCAGGGCCCAAGTGCTCCCCTCTTCTCGGCCACCTTGCACTCCTCCTCCAGGCCCACCACCCACTTCTCTGTGTGGCTCCTCTGGCCACATCTCTTGGCATTCCAACTGCAGGCACTGTTACATCTCCTGCCTCTGCTACCCCGTGAAATATTTCTTCCTCTACAAGTCGAGTCTGAGCCCTGAGCCTGAGAGCATGGTGTGGTCCAGCCTGAGGCTGGAGAGGAGCAGAGAGCATCCCGCTCCCGGGGTCACCAAGAAGCAATAGGGGCCCTGCATGCCAGGACAGATGGGGTGGGGGAGAAGAGTGAGGTGCCCAAGCCATCCCCCACCCCTCCGGATGTCCCCAGCAGTCCTGGGCTCTGGGCCATGGCATTTGAGGACTTTCCCAAAAGCTGGTGAGAGCTTCCCCTACCCCATCCCAGTCAGGACTCTGCGTAAGGCTTTCTGAAGCCAGGCTCTGCCAAGGGAGAAGATTAACTACCATGTGAGGACAGGCAGGGATGGGGCTTCTAGTTCTTGGAAATGAAATTCCCACATGGAGAAAAATGACCCAGTCCTTTTAAATACTGTGCCTGGCAGCTTTCCTTTTGTGGAATGCTGGCAGAAAAGGGCACGGAGGGAGAGGGTACAAAGAGAGAGGGCACCGTGAGCCATGGGAGGGTGCAAGGAAGTCTGTGCCTACAGAGAGCTCTGGGCCTGGCGGGAGTGAGCAAGTGCAGGCTCCTGCACCAAGCTGAGCAGCTGGGAAATTTCTGAGCCTGGATGCTGAGTTAGGATGCTGTTCCCGAGAACCTCTGTGTGTGTGTGTGTGTGTGTGTGTGTGTGTGTGTTTATACAGGTCCATGACCTCATGATTCCCATAGGCTGGAAGTGCCACAGATATCTACAGGTGAGCACCAGTGCTTGTATCTCAGCAGGCAAATCTGCGCATGTGCAAGTCTTCAAGCACACATGAGCACAGATGTCACGGTGAAGTAGAGGACAGGAGGGGCCATGAGCCGGCCTGTCCTTAGGAACTGCCTATGAACTGTGTGTTTCAGAGGAAGAGGTCACAACCGTGGGAAGATACATTAGGCTTCACCTTGACATCTCTTGTTCCCCCGCTGAGGTGCAGAGCTCTATGGTGAGGCCACAGCTGAGCAGCTCAGGCAGGTCCTCCACCCTCCACCCTCCAGGAGAGAAGAGGTGGGCCCTGACCTGGCTCCATCGTGGAGCAAGGTGGACCCAACTCAGCAGGTCCTGCCTGGGAGGCAGCTTTACCTTGACTTCTCCAATCCGTTCCCCTCTAACTGCCCTGCAGCTGTCACTTCCAGCCCCAGCAGCTGCGGGTGAAGCAAAAGGAGGAGAAGCAGATCTCTCAGTTCAGCATGAGTGGTGACAGCGGGTAAAGTGGGGACACATGGGCCCTGGAGCTCAGAGTCCTACCTAAGGAGAACCCTGAAAAGGGAAAGTCTCTGCCACTCATACCCATTCTCGGGTTTGTTTCACCTGCTGTCCCTTCTTCCCCATGTCTGCTCCAGAGCAAGGCCTAAGTCTCAGCACATCACTGAGTGGCCCTGAAGGGCAGCGTGGGAGCTGGGGGAAGGGACAACACTGGTGGGAGGGAGCCGGGCCTGCTCCAGCTGCCACAGAGAAGCTGAGGCGGGGTGGGGGAGCCCTGGCTGATTTCCAACTGCCCCCACTCTGTCCCAGCCTCTGGCTTTCTCAGAAAGAACTCTCTGTTCTCCTTCAGCATTCAAGACCAGAGAGACGGACTTATGGATGGGGGAGGGAAGAGCAGGGAGAGGAAGGGGGGGTCCTTGCTTCCTTTTTCTTCTTTGCCTGGGCAGTCACTGGCCCCAAATCTCTGCAGGCTCCTGGCTGCAAAGCCTGAGATCTTTGCCAGGACAGGGGGAGTAGGAGGGGGCAGTGTATCCTAAGTTCTAGGCCTATAGGAGGACAGAGTGGATGCTTGGGGGAACAAGGTGCTGTATGGAGCTGCTAAAGTCAGCCACACCCCAACGTAGCAACGGGCATGGATCAGCAAGGCTTTTAGCAGCACACACTTGATTCTCTTTTCATGGACCTTGTTTTACGTCTGAATGTACAGAACTCCTCTGGGCTCCGCTCCTTGGCCCTAGCCCCAGGCCCTTGTCAATGCACACCTAGGCTCCGCCCCTATTCCCAAAGCTCCGAGGGTCCCACTGAAGTTTACCCACGCTGGAGCTCATTGCTTCTGGTCCCTCCATTGTTTTCCATCCTTTCCTCAGCCCTGCCTTGCCAAGGGTACAGTTAGTGAATCCAAAGCATTTCAATCTATCCAGTTAAGTCTCTGACTTAGGAATATTCGAGTTGCAAACCTTCACAGGTATACTATATAAGACTCACTTCTGAACGAATCCAAGTTATAGACAGTTCTCCAGGGATGGAACTCGTAAGTCAGGTACTTACTGTAAATGAACTCTCTTAAGTCACCTAGGGAAAGGAGAAGTAGAAAGGTCCCCAAGCTCTTTTCCATTCCTGTTGTTGGATGACATCAGTCTCCTCAAGACGATGAGTGTTTAGAAGGCCCAAAATAGGTTGAATTCATAGGTGCTTCAGAGGGAGACACACGCACGGTTTACTGTCACCTTTTCTGAGAAAAGCATTGCTGAGTAACACAGCCTCCAAGAGCTCATATCTTTTTAGGTCATTTTATCTTGAGGACAAGTGTCCACCCTGTACTTATCTCCCACTCCCAACCTTGCTCCTGATTTTACTGCTTAGATTTCTGTTTCCTCACAGTACTGGATTTGTGACCTCTTACAGTCAAGGCAGCTGCTACACTCCTAGCACTTTAGTGGAGTAAAAATGGCTCATCATGGAGCACGGAATAGTCAGGACAGCAAAACTATTCCATATGATGCCTCGGTGGTGGATACATAGATTGCACATTTGCCCAAACTCAGGATATACAAATTCAGGAGTGAGCTCTAGTGTAACCCATGGACACTGGTGGATGCCATGTAGTCCACCACTGTAATAGATGTGTAACAAATGTAACGCTCGGATAGAGGATGTTGAACAGAGAAGGAGGCTGCTCACGAAGGAACGGAACAGGAGAGACGTGAGAAGTTTCTCTACTTTTAGTTCAGTTTTGTGAATCAAAAAATTGCTCCAAAAACAAAAAGGCCTATTTAAAAAAAAGTCTACTTTTTACAACTAACCAACCAAACCCATCCCCTCTAACACATAATCCTGAAAGTGCACACACATTGGCTTTGATCCCACCACTCTTTATGGGTCGAAAAATCACACCGTAGGACAGAAGAACTCCTTCCTGAAAGCCTAGATTAACTTTTAGGATCCAGCAAAGTCTAGAGGCACCGGGCAGAAACCAAGCAGCCCTTCTGTGAGGAGGACACTGTCTACTGAGGAAGAGGGAGGCTAGGAGAGAGGGATGAAGGCATCTGAGATGGGACCATCCTCAGAGTTAGCCACGGCCCCCAGCCTGCCCCAACTCTTCCCAGCCCATAGCTCCAAGACAGGGTCCCCTTGGATGGAGAAAACCCATCCCTCTCCCCAAAACTTTCCGGTGAGACCCTGGAAACCTAAAGGAAGGGAAATGTTGGCCTCATGAGGCTACAATTAAAATGTCCTGATGCCACCAGACGACGCAGGAATTACCTAAGAGTTATACAAGTTTTAGTATTAGATTTATTCTTCAATACAACTTCTTAAATTTCCAGGCAAATGGAGTTCAGTTCCCTTCTTACCCAATTGTGCTTCAGAGCATTGAGTTCCATGTGTCACCCCTTTCCAGTCTCAGGGAGGCCTGGCCAGCTGGATGGAGAGAGCTCCATGTACCCTGCATTTCCATTTCCTGGGCACACTCTGACCCTTCAGTTACTAACTTCTCACCCACTGGCCCTATCCTTTCTGCTTCCGCCACCAGACCCTTTTCTCCTCCCAGTTTTACCCCAAGACTCTTACTCTCCCAAATTCCTATGTCTGCATCTCTCTAAGTATAATGGTGTTGAGCAAAGACCTTCCTACAGGGTGCTTCCAGTCCCTCACCCCATCCCCAGCCCTGTCAGCTCGCTTCCAGAATTCTCCTAGATAGCATACGACATGGTTTTCAAAATTGGAGGATGTTTTGAATCTAGCAGCAGCATCCTTTAAGAAAATCTTAGCAGAGACCCCTTGACCTCCCTGAACCTCAGAGTGGGGATCAGAGCTCTGCCAACAGTCCGCAAACTGAAGAAGACCTGGGGTCCCTTTTCCCCCTTGCTCCTTCTCCCCAAGATAATCAGTAGCTTTGAACTCCACCCCCAGTGCCTGGTCACCCTGGTTAGCTGAGGGGTCACAGGCCAGCCCGTCCCCATGACTCTGTGGTCCCCCTTCCTTCTGCAGGCCGGTCGCGAGTACTCACCTGCTGCCACCACCACGGAGAATGGGGGCGGCAAGAAGAAACAGAAAGAGAAGGAGCTGGATGAGCTGAAGAAGGAGGTGGCTATGGTGAGGCCCACAAACCCCCTAGTAGGGCCACAGAAGAGGGGTCGCGTGCTCAGACAGCTGCCAGTGCCCCCTCCTGTGTTCCTCACTTGATCCTGAGCCTCCTTCCCCAATGTAACTCCACTTCTCTTCCCCAGGATGACCACAAGCTGTCCTTGGATGAGCTGGGTCGCAAGTACCAAGTGGACCTGTCCAAGGTGAGCAGGTGGATTTCCAGGGAGGGGACCCAAGAAGGGAGACCGCCTTGCAGAAGTGGGTGGGTGAACCTGAAATCCACAACACAACATTCTTTCCAGGGGAAGAAAAGGGCCCAGAAATAAGAACCCCCCTCCCCCCGCCACCCCAGTCACATGGCTAGCTGGTGGCAAAGCCAGAACTAGACTCTGGAGCCCTGCTTCCTAGAACAAAAGCTCTCTCCCTGTGTGGAGCCAGAACTGTTTAGAACCCAAGTCCCCACTGCCTCAAGGCAGGGCTTTTCCCCTGACTCCCACTCCAAGCAAACAGTGACACCTACATGACTAGGGAGGCCCCTCTTCCTGTTATGACAATGATTTCCTTCTGCTATATGCTACTTACCTGGCCCTATGATAGACACATTATGTAAATTTCTCTAATCCTTACAACAACCCTGACATAGGTGTGGTTGGCCTGTTAATTAAAACTAGGAGATTCACATGTAGCATCCCAAGGTCAGGTAACAAGGAAGTGGCACAGTCAGGTGTTAAGCCTAACATTTTGGGATGTTAAAATATTGATAATCTGATGGGCACGATGGCACATAACTGTAGTCCCAGCTACTTGGGAAGATGAGGTAGGAGGATCCCTTGACTTCCTGAGTTCAAGACCAAGCCTGGGCAACAATGAGAATTCATCTGAAAAAAACAGAAAGAAAACATGTTAATAGAAAACTTCATGGGTCAGTGTCTCCTACACTCCTTCCCAACGGCACTTCCTAAAATTCTGTTCTCTCATTCCTATATCTTGCTTTATTTCCCTTAACAACACTTTTCACCTCTGTCATTAATATATACCTGTTTGTTGGGTTTATGATCTTTCTAGAGGGCATAAACTTTTGGTTGTGTCTATCTCTGGATCCCTCCTGGTGCCTGGCATAGAGTAGATATTTAGTACACATTTATTAAGTACATGAATGATACAAGGATGCGGAGGTAAGTAAGAAGCTGTCCCTGTTCAAAGGCTAGTAGAAAGGAAAAATGAATTCCTAAATCATATGTCAAGTGTCACCTCTAGAATCGAGCATAGGATATTACGAGGACCCAAAAGGGGACACGGGCATCTGATCTGGTCTGGAGGCCAGAGGAGCAGAGCGTGGTCAGAATTTCTATGGAAAGCAGCAGGTGATGGCCAAAGTTGTGTGATCCTCTGTGATGTAGGCTCTCCCTGAGGACATGGTGAAAGGGAGAACCTGGAGGAAGAGAGCCAGGAGGAAGGAGCAGATAAGGTGTCTTTCTTCCTAGGGACCTAATTCAGGTTGCCTCCAGGGAGGTGTTGTGGTGTTATGGCCCTAACCAAAATGTGTATCAAATCTAAAATCAGAGGTGAAATGACAGCCAAAGTCCTCCACAGCCTTCAAGCCCTCCAAGTCCCCTCACAAATGCCACCTCCTCTGTGGAGTTTCTGCTGGCATTCTGGTCTTCTGGCAAAGTGGGGCTAGGTCCATCTGGACATTGCTCCCTGCTGAGGTGCCCTGGGGATGCAGTGGCAGGCATGTGGGTCCTGCATCCTTAATCTCATGCCTACCTGCCTTGCTCCCTAGGGCCTTACCAACCAGCGGGCTCAGGACATCCTGGCTCGGGATGGACCCAACGCCCTCACTCCACCCCCCACAACTCCTGAGTGGGTCAAGTTCTGCCGTCAGCTGTTCGGGGGCTTCTCCATCCTGCTGTGGATTGGGGCCATCTTGTGCTTCCTGGCCTTTGGCATCCAGGCTGCCATGGAAGATGAACCATCCAACGACAATGTGAGCCACATGCCTGACCGCAGACCAGCCCATAACTCTGTCCTTCAACTCTAAACCCTAAATATAGTGGTAGGGAGAATACAATATCCTCATGTCACAGTCCCACATCTTCCCTGTACCTCAGACTGAAAAGGGGTGAGGGTGCTATCCACATCTATAAAGCACCCCCTTTACACAAGCCCTCAGTGAGTGAGTCAGGCTCTTCCTGCACTTTTCCCCCTAGGGAAATCAAGTAGTGAATGATCAAGGAAGGTTGGAGAGAAGGGTTCTCCCCTACCACTCTCAGTCCTAGGCGCAGACAAAGGTCTGGGCTCTCTCACAGAGGAGGCACTGAGTGCTTGGGGAAGCAGGGGCAGGTTCCTCACACTCTCCTTTCTTACCAGCTCTATCTAGGTGTGGTGCTGGCAGCTGTGGTCATCGTCACTGGTTGCTTTTCCTACTACCAGGAGGCCAAGAGCTCCAAGATCATGGATTCCTTTAAGAACATGGTGCCTCAGGTAGATGGTAGGGCTGGGCTTAATCCATCCAGGGTGGGTCATAGGTTCCTGGGATGATTCAGATTATTCCAGTTCAACACCTTGTGCTGAGATACAGACAGAAAAGAACTGCCCACCCCAGGCTCACACCAAGGACCTAGCTGTGTTGCTAAGGATGTGGGGGATCTGTGTCCCCCTTGGTGGGGTTGGAGAGGGAGCCAGCAGCTGTTAAAGGTGGAGATGGAGATGAGCGTTTCCTGAGCTGTCCATGACTTCTCCACAGCAAGCCCTTGTCATCCGGGAGGGAGAGAAGACACAGATCAATGCGGAGGAAGTGGTGGTAGGAGACTTGGTGGAGGTGAAGGGTGGGGACCGTGTCCCTGCTGACCTCCGAATCATCTCTTCTCACGGCTGTAAGGTGAGGAGCTCACACCGTAGCACATAGTTTGGTCTAACAAGCAGGGTGTATTGAGCTTAGAGAGACCTCCATGGAGATTTCAATTAGGAGACCTAGTTCCTAATGCCAACCCCTCCCCTCACCTCCCAGCTGAACCTTCTTTCAGCCTGTGGTGTTGCGCATGTCTCCTTGTATGTCTGCATTATGAGCACTCTATGCCCTGGGGATTTCTTTTATAGCCACTTATAATCATCTCTCAAATACCAATTAGGTGTCAGATGTTTTATATATGTTCCCCTATGCTATCCAATTTCCCTTGGAAAGAATAGTGTCATTGTGTAGAGCTCCTGCATGTGACCACACAGGTTGTGCCCTGAACAACCCTGGCAGGTGCATTCCCATAGACTACAATGTTGGTGGCGCCCCCTGGGGTTGTGCAATGCAGTGATTTTGTTTATATCCCCTATTGTACAGATGAGTAACCAGAGGCTCTCTTGGTAAAGTAAGTAATCAATCTTGAGTTACACCAAAAGTGCATAAGAGCCAGGATTCCAAACCAGCGCAAGGGCAATAGCTGAGTAATGCCATAAATATGTGATGAGGGCAAGTGTAATTTTGTCTGTCAGGTCACAGAGCTTGAGTGTGGCTGGGCCCGCTCAGGAGAGACTCTGAGCCATGCAGTGTGGCTGCCCATCTGACTATTATGTGCCCTTCTTTCTCAGGTGGATAATTCATCCCTAACGGGCGAATCAGAGCCCCAGACCCGCTCCCCTGAGTTCACGCATGAAAACCCCCTAGAGACCCGTAATATCTGTTTCTTCTCAACCAACTGTGTGGAAGGTGAGCAGCTGACCTGCTGGCGTTCCCCTCATCCCGGTCCAGTGGCGAGAAGAGTCTGAATCCTGACTCCTCAAGTTAGGATCAGGGACTGTGATGGCCTCTTTTGGCAAAACCTCTGCCACAGAGGAGGTCATGGATGCATAGGGGACCCTGAATATTACAGAAAGTATCTCCTCTGGAGAACAAGCAGCGTATTGGCAAGAGGCAGCATGATGCCCCAGGAAGGTCACTTCCCCACAGGAAAATCTCCATTCTGTCCACCCCAAGGCTCTCAGATATTGGGTGACATATTCATGCACATACACACACACACACACACACACACACACACACACACATACACACACACTCACGTAAAGATGTCTGAGACCAACTTTGATTCCTAAGAGCTTTTGAGGTAAACTGATGCTTTCTACTGCTTGTGGTCCTAGCCAAGTTACTCTCTGTGACCAGAGCTCAGGCTAGAGGAGGGTAGGTGAGTGTGTAGTCTTTCTTTACGAGGAGTTATGGCGGCCTGTGCCAAACCAAAGTCTGCCTAGATTGCTCAATCCCTGTGCTGGATTCTAGAGATGGACGCTGGTCAGTAAGAACTCCCAGAGCCCCCAACACATAGAGACAAAAATCTAAGCACTGTGGTGTAGCCAGTGAACAAAGTCAGGCTGACTCAAAGGAATGGAGTGCAGAGGGTAGGAGAGGGAGGCCTGATTAGGCCACAGGCCTCAGTGGGGGGAGAGGAATCCTTGCACCCCAGATGCACAGCCTTCCCATCACCCATTTCTCCTCAGCACAGTATGTGTCTTTGGGGCTGTTTTCCTCCTTCAGCAAGTTGGGATTACAATGGCACCACACATTAAATTTCCTAAATTTTTAATGTGCTGAGGTTCTGAAATTTATACTACATTTCCTATAATTGATTTGTTCAGAAATGCCGACAAGATATTTCTATTGCTTGTCCTGCTGTTGGCTTTGAAGAGAGGGAAAGAGAGGAAATGAAAGGAAGATTTTTGTGTGCCTAGTATGTGCCAGGCACTGGTCTATGTGCATTACATCCTTAATCTCATTGAATTATTAAAACAACCCTTAGGTAGGATTTCAAGCAAAGATTCAAACACAGACTTGACGGATTCCAATATATGCTCTTTCTACTGGATACTTCCTTTCCCAAAGAACCCTGTGATGTACCCAAAAGTTAGCAGTTGCCTACCTTCTTTCATAGAGATTCTTCCCTTACCTTGAGAAACAAGATCTTTAGAGTACAGTTCACTAAATAATCCATAAGTGCTTTCTTCATGTTCATAATATATTTTGGGGTAATACAAAGTATGAGATTTATCTTACTGAAATGCCACAGGCAATATTTATTTTATTTATTGGATCTCTCCAATTTGAACTTGGAGGCAAGGCTTTTCCTCAGGCACCCAAATACAAGAAAAAGGTAATTTGCTGCTGTGTTGCATGTGGGGTTGGTGATCTATGCAAGAGGGTGCAAGCTACTTGACATGGACTCTAAGATCTAAATCTTTGGTCCCTTTTCTCTGTGATACTCTTGTTCAGAAAGGAGGCTGAGACTGTAGTCCCTGGTATCCCTAGCATACCAACCTGGTATCCCTTCCTCTGCTTCAGGCACCGCCAGGGGCATCGTGATTGCCACAGGTGACCGAACGGTGATGGGCCGCATAGCCACTCTCGCCTCGGGCCTGGAAGTTGGGCGGACGCCCATAGCCATGGAGATTGAACACTTCATCCAGCTGATCACAGGGGTGGCTGTGTTCCTGGGGGTTTCCTTCTTTGTGCTGTCCCTCATCCTGGGCTACAGCTGGCTGGAGGCCGTCATCTTCCTCATTGGCATCATCGTGGCCAACGTGCCTGAAGGGCTTCTGGCCACTGTCACTGTAAGTAGATCTGGCTGAAGTGCCACCAGGGTAGGATCTTTCCTTGAGAGGCAAAAGACACGGCTGCTTGTTGTCATTCAGCGATGTTTTTCTGTGGGCCCCTAAAGTCACTTATCAGATGTGTGCCAGACTCAGAGATTATCTAATCCATGACTTTGAGTGTGAAAAACTCTCAGGTCAGCCTATATCTGGGCAATGGCTTTTCTTCTAGCACATATCATGGTCACCTTTCTCAACACCTATGTTCCCACATCCCCCTCAAACCCCCTCAAACCGGGCCTTATTCTGGCCAACTCATCTGTCTGTAGAGGCCCCCTCAAATGTCACCAGTGATTAACTAGAAAATCCAGTGACCTTTTCTCAGCTCCTATCCCTAACTCTGCTGCTGAAATGGATACTTCTGTCCACCTTCCTAGAACTCTGTCCTTCAGCAACTACTGTAATGTATCATTTTCCTGCCTGGCTCTCTGCTCTTCTCTGTAGGCCTAGGATGAGCCATCTCCTCCTTTCTCTGTGGACAGCCCTGTACCCTCTCTGGAGCTCTAGTCAAATATTTCAATGTCTTGAGAGCATTTAACCTGACTATATACCTATGATGTCAACTGAACATGTCCAAAGTTGAGCACAGGCACTATTTCCTCCTGGATCCTATCCACTGTGGGACATGGTTATGGAAGAGCACAGTCTGTGGGTCCTATAGCACACATGCCACAGCAGGCACATGGAGCCCACTCTGCAATGCTAAGAGTTGTTTTTTCTAAACTAAAACATCAGTATTTAGGGTTTAATTGCAGTATTGACTCTTTGCAATAAGTAAGTGGACTTTGGGTTGCAGTTTGGGTGCTTAGTCTCTGAAAGGTTCACTACTTTACCTGGTCCAAGGTAAAGTCGAACTACTGTCTAGGGATGTGGGCTTCTGTAGTTCTAGGTGCACCCTATCCTATTTTCCTCTCTCCCTACCAGGTGTGCCTGACGCTGACAGCCAAACGCATGGCACGGAAGAACTGTCTGGTGAAGAACCTGGAGGCGGTGGAGACGCTGGGCTCCACATCCACCATCTGCTCAGACAAGACAGGCACCCTCACCCAAAACCGCATGACTGTCGCCCACATGTGGTTCGACAACCAGATCCATGAGGCTGACACCACTGAAGATCAGTCTGGTGATTATGTGTTCCAGATGGAGTGAGGGGGATTTGAGGGGCTAAGGGGACCCTGAGCATAGCTGGGGGTGAGTTAAGGGCCATAAAAGGGGACCAAGCTCCTGTTCTCCCTCATCGATTCCCAGGGGCCACATTCGACAAACGGTCACCTACATGGACAGCCCTGTCTCGGATCGCTGGTCTCTGCAACCGAGCTGTCTTCAAGGCTGGGCAGGAGAATGTTTCTGTGTCCAAGGTAGGGGTTAGGCAGCACACCTGGGCTTGTCTGGGAGAGGTGTCGAGAGTCCTCATGGAGCTGATGCCCAGCTCTCCATCTCACTCCCTGTGGCTGCCTGGGGCTTCCACGCCTCCTCACCTGCTCCTCCACTACCTTCCTCTCCTCACTGTGACACTGAACTCTCTTCTTCCCTCCTGGCAGCGGGACACAGCTGGCGATGCCTCTGAGTCAGCTCTGCTCAAGTGCATTGAGCTGTCCTGTGGCTCTGTAAGGAAGATGAGGGACAGGAACCCCAAGGTGGCAGAGATTCCTTTCAACTCTACCAACAAGTACCAGGTCTGACTGGGCTGGTGGGACAGAGGAAGAGAAAGGACCAAAAATGGGGGCATGGAGGTGGGGGATTAGACAAGCCAGAAGGAAGTAATGGAAGCACCTGAGGATCACATCCTCTTCCTCCTGCTTCAATCCCAAGACAACTTGTTTGACTTCTGGTCTGGTTACAATCACCTGCTTGCTAACTTCCGCAACCTTCTTACGTGCACTCTGTGGCCCTCTCCATTCTTCTTCTCCTAGCTCCCCACCTACTGGGCATAGTCCTCCAGCTCTGCAACCCCTTTTAATAGAAGCACTCCTCTGTAACTCCCTTATGATATCCCTGGGCCTCTAGGTACCTGTTCATGCCGAGAATAGCCACAGCCATATTCTGTGTGAGCCATGGAGGAAAAGCCCACTCTAGGCCATTGTGGGGTGATGGATGTGACCACCTGGGTGTCTGCAACCTGCCTTAAGTGTTATGGATAGCTCTTCTTCAAATGAATGGCTGTCCTGTGGAAAAGACTCAGGTTGCAACACTGGGACTATGAGCAACTACCCCTCCACGCATGGAGATTCTCCCTTTGTTGAGTCTCTGGTGGATGGACATTAGTTTGTTACCAGAGATGGCTTTACCAGCCGCTGCTCTGCATCAGACCATATGCTGGGTAGTGGAGCCATCAAGGGAAGCATAACCCCTCTGTCACTGCCTTTCCTCTCTCCAGCTATCTATCCACGAGAGAGAAGACAGTCCCCAGAGTCACGTGCTGGTGATGAAGGGGGCCCCAGAGCGCATCCTGGACCGGTGCTCCACCATTCTGGTGCAGGGCAAGGAGATTCCTCTGGACAAGGAAATGCAAGATGCCTTTCAGAACGCCTACATGGAGCTGGGAGGCCTGGGGGAGCGTGTGCTGGGTGAGGTTCGGGAGCAGGAGCGAGGCCGCACTTCTGCAGCCTCCCTGGGGTGAGGGGCATCCACACAGCCACTGCGCTGCTCTGACTCCTCGTTTCTGTCCTCTACCAAGGGTTCTGTCATCTGAATCTCCCTTCCGGAAAGTTTCCCCGTGGCTTCAAATTTGACACAGATGAGCTGAATTTTCCCACAGAGAAGCTCTGTTTTGTGGGGCTGATGTCTATGATTGACCCACCTCGGGCAGCTGTGCCAGATGCCGTGGGCAAGTGCCGAAGTGCGGGCATCAAGGTACCCATCTCCCTCCTCCTGTCTGTCCTGCCTCCCTTGTGCTGAAGATCAATGCATTGCAGCAGCTGAAGCCCTAGCAGATGCAGGCTCCCAGGCGCTTCCTTCCCATGGAAGCAGCATCCACCTGCAAGGAAAAGTGAATCCAACCTTGCCTGGGGCTCTCATCCTCTCCGTTTTGCTCAGAGAAGTCCACTTCCCACATTCAGCTCAGTCCACCCAGGCATGCAGCCATACCTGCATGCAGCCCTTGCCTTCTGATTTCAAGTACCATCTGCACCCTGACTCAGAGACAGGGTAGTCCAACCCTTCCCAGCTGCTGCCCACTCTCTCCTACCATTTTTGGGAGATCAACAGGCTTCTGTCTGCTCCCACTCACCCCATCACCTCATAGACTGCCTCCCCCTTGAGCACATCTCACCAGTTCACCCGCAGTTGTTTACTTGGCTCCTTGGAGCCAAGTTTGACCTTCACTCAGTGTGTGTTTATTGTTTCACAACTGTGTGTCAAGCCCTGAGCAAGGAGCTGCTGGCCTTAACAAACCTCCATTCTGTCTTGGTGCTCGCCTCCTTGTCCTCAAGGCCGCTCTTTGCCACCACTGTCCCTTTTCTGGTCGCCCACTGTGATACTGTCACCCGTTCCTAGTCAATACAATTCAACCAGCGTGCTGAGGGCCAGGTCCTGCACTTAGTGCTGGGCACACAGATGTCAAGACATGAGGCCTGGCCCCTTTGTCCCGTTGTCTCTCATGGGAAACAGCCTGTTACAGAACAACCATAACACTCAGCATCCATGGGCGCCTACTCTGGGTCAGAGGCTCTGAACCTGGGCAAATTTTTGGAACTTTTCCACAAATTGAGCATTATACTAAGCACTGAATCTCTGTGATCTTATTTAACCTCCTCAGCCACCCTCTGGGTGAGCATGCAGTACTTTTTCTTTTATTCACAGAGAGAGAAACTGAGTATTATGCCCAAGGCCTCACAATTAATAAATCACAGAGCCAGGACCCAAAGGCCAAAGCCAGTCAAGCAACCATTCCTTACCCACACCAGAGGACTTGGCTCTGTGTGAATTCTGAACCCCATAACCTCCGTCTCTGAAGTGCACATGATTCCTCCCATCTGGAATGAGCAATTGGAGCCAGTAGACAGCTTTCCCTGGGTAGAACTGCTGGGGGTGCACATTGGGAATGCAGAGCATGGTGGGCTGGTGCCATTGCCCGTGCCCGTGCTCTTGCTGGGTCACAGCCTCTCACCATGATGGGAGCTCTCACAGAGCAAGGACTCTGTAGGATTTGGGAGCCTGGAGCTGTTAATTCTCCTGCGGGGAACTGGATGGTGCTTGACAGCGGCAGTGCTATTTGATCTGGGCCATAAAGGCTGAAGAGTATTCTGTGGGGCAGTAAGAGGGGGAGGCAGGCAAGACCAGGGAACAGCGCGTACCCTGACGAGGCCACACTGTGAGAGGGCATGTGAGTCAGCAGGGGAGAGAGGGACAGGAATGCTGGGGACAGAGCCTGAAATGTTGGGTCAGGGCCAGTTGGAAAGACGTTGCTTAAGTGCTACATTTGCCAGGGCTTTTATCCCATGAGCCACAGAGGGCCACTGACATCACAGGTCTGGCTTTAGAGCTACCTGGATGGAGAAGGGACTGGATTTGGGGAAAAGCTAATGCCAAGGGTGGTAGGTAAAGAGACTATTCGATAGTTTAGGTAAGGGATGGTGCCCTGAACTAGGACAGAGACATGGAAAGAAATATCTGCACATGGAAATGTTTTGAGAATTCGGTGACCAGTTGGACGCAGGAGGCAAGGAAGGGAGGGAGCAGAGGGGCAGGCATGGTGGGTTGGGAGAAGCAGAATAACAAGTCTAATTTTAACCTGAAGTCTGTAACAGTGGTCCACCTGAAGTCTGTAACAGTCCACAACTTCTTTGGCACTGGAGACCAGGTTTGTGAAAGACAACTTCTCCATGGACCAGGGAATGAGGGGAGGGTGGTAGTGGAGTCAGGATGATTCAAAGGAGCCTGCAACCCAGATCCTCCAAGTGCAGCGTTCATAGGAGAGTTTCTGCTCCTACAAGACTCTGACACCCCTGCCAATCTGATAGGAGGGTAATGCCAGCAATAGGAAGAGGCTGTGGATACAGATGAAGCTTTGCTAGGTCATCCACTGGTCACTTCCTGCTATGTAACCTGGTTCCTTACAGGCTACAGACGGTACTGGTCCACAGCCTGGAGCCTGAGGACTTCTTGTCTATAAGAAACCCAGACAGTAATTCCAAGGAGACTCAGAATATGGTTCAGAAGTCAACAGAGAGAGTTAAGCATGCAGGTTTGAATCTCACTAGCACACAGGTGCTAATTAAAGGCTCGCTGGTACAGTTTATTCTATTGCCCTGGAAGAGAACTGAGTCAAAGGAGCACATATATATAGCCCAGGATAAAACCCTGGGCTAGAACAAGTGGAGACAGGAATACAGAAACCAGCAAGGATACAAGAGGGAGGTGGGAGAGAGCTGAGGTTTGCTGGGCATCTGCCTAATGTCTCTTAATCTCCATGACAACCTGGAAAGCACAGAATCAGCCCTTACATCACGTGAGGCATGGTACTGACTTATCCAGGGTCCTACAGTGGGAAAAGGCCAGTATTGAGACTTAGGTCCCCTGTCCGGCTCTTCCATTCCAGCAGGCTGCGACCCCAAGGAGGCTGGAAGAAGTGGGCAGAAGGTGGGGCCAACCCAGGAATGAATCATGCATGCAGGCCAAGGGGGTGCAGGCTTTCCAGGGGGTGCCGACCAGCATGAATGCTTCAGACAGAAGCATCACAAAGGACAGGGATGGCAGAGATGCCTTTGTATTTCATTTGGGAGGCCAAGGAGCCTGTAGAGTTGTAGGGATTGGAGAGAAGGCTGCGGGACATGAAGAGCCTTCCTCTCAGGATCGGTGAGATTCTCCCCAAAAACTATGCATGTGAATGCCATCCTAGCCCAGCTTTGCTCACTTTACATTGACAATGGCCTCTTAACTGGCTTGTTGGCTGCCAGCCACTCTCCCTACCCCACTCCACCCATTCTGCAGCAGCAGTGAACATTAACAGGGCCAAGGCAGGCATTACATTCTCCCAGCACAGAGGACAATCCAAAGCAGATGAGGAAGGGGCAGAGGCAGGGGCCATCTCTGTCTTAGCCCCACTTGCATTCAGTTACAAAAATGCATTGATTATATTAGACACTAAGAAAATCACCCAGTGCTGGGTCCCTGGGACCTTGAGTAAATTATGGGTCCTCATGGAGCCTCAGTTTTCTCATCTGTGCAATGAGGAATCTGCTAAGTGAAGCATCCTTCCAGCTCTGGCTGCTTCATATTCTAGGAAACCCAAACTCCTGAAACATCTCCTAAACATTCTAATGAGTGGAGATGACTCTCCCAAGGGACATCCACTAGCTTGTCATTCTGTCGTGTTTCTCTCCATTTAAGCAAACACAACACAACTTATCATGTTTCTCCCTTACCCAAACACACAAACTCCATTATTGGGCTGGGATTTACTGGCCCAAGACACCTAATAATCTACCTTTACCTGATTTTGGGAGAAGACATAGGAGGGGGAAAACTCTCAATGGTGCTTTCTGTTCCTCTCTTCACCTTCACACCAGGTGATCATGGTAACCGGAGACCACCCTATCACCGCTAAGGCCATCGCCAAAGGTGTGGGCATCATATCAGAGGGCAATGAGACTGTGGAGGACATTGCAGCCCGGCTCAACATTCCTGTGAGCCAAGTCAACCCGAGGTGAGGCTTTGTGGGAGCACTCTCCACCCAGTCAGCACATCTCTGAGGGCGTTTGGGCAGCATCTCTGGCCTTTAGACTATGACCTCACCTCTGCCAGCTCTGGCACTGATTCCTCAGTTCTGAGTGTGTGTCCAACTGATGAGCTGTGTAACGGTGAAGGTGTCACTGTACCCTCCTGAACTTCACTTTCACAAAGTTAGGGTGGCCTAGCAAACTGCTTATGCCCATGGCTACGGCATGGCAAGGATCAGTGTCACTTCCACTGAGAGAAATGGGAAAACTGAGCACCAAGAGAGAAAAGCCATGAAACAGTGGGGGTGAGGGAACAAGGAAGCAGCGGACGGGTCCAGGCCGAGGCAGTCAGCCATGCCACCCCACCTTCCAGGGAAGCCAAGGCATGTGTGGTACATGGCTCCGACCTGAAGGACATGACGTCGGAGCAGCTGGACGAGATCCTCAGGGACCACACGGAGATTGTGTTTGCCCGGACGTCCCCACAGCAGAAGCTCATCATCGTGGAAGGCTGTCAGAGGCAGGTGAGCAAGGCAGCGGGCAGTGGGTGACAAGGGCAGGCAAAGTTCAGAGCCAAATGGGCTGTCTTAGAGCACTGGAGCTGTCTTCTCCCCAGGGAGCCATTGTGGCGGTGACTGGGGATGGGGTGAACGACTCCCCCGCGCTGAAGAAGGCCGACATCGGCATTGCCATGGGCATCTCCGGCTCTGACGTCTCTAAGCAGGCAGCTGACATGATCCTGCTGGACGACAACTTCGCCTCCATTGTCACGGGCGTGGAGGAGGGTGAGGAGGCTTCATGGGTTGGGTGGTGTCCAGGACGTGAGAAGCCGGCACTCTGCCTCCCAGACCTTTCACCCCAATGCAGGGTTCAACTCAGGACTCCAGGCAGCCCCAGCCTTGCCTTAGCTCCCCTCCCACATAACTCAAAGCCACACATCCAGACTGGGGGTGAGGAGCTCCCTCTAGCCCCCTGCTACCACCCCCACAGGCCGCCTGATCTTTGACAACCTGAAGAAGTCCATCGCATACACCCTGACCAGCAACATCCCCGAGATCACCCCCTTCCTGCTGTTCATCATCGCCAACATCCCCCTCCCACTGGGCACCGTGACCATCCTCTGCATTGACCTGGGCACGGATATGGTGAGGCCACGGTGGGGACAGGACAGGCAGCCACAGAGACCAGTGGGCAGGATGGACCACAGATGAAGGGCAGATCAACTGGGCAGCTGACCAGGCCATGACAGAGAGTTAACTGGAGGATCATAGAATTATATTGAAGATTTTTTATAAGCCTGGTGTGGTAGCACATGCCCATAATCCCAGCAGTCAGGAGGCTGAGGCAGGAAGATGGAAAGTTTGAGCCCAGCCTGGTGAACTTAGCAACATTATTAGAGCAATAATATTATAAGACCTTCTCTCAAAATAAAAACTAAAAATGGCCAGTCATGGTGGTACAGGTCTGTAATCTCAGCACTCAGAAGGCTAAGGCAGGAGTTAGGCCAGCTCGGGCTATATAGTTTAAAGCCAGCTAAACAACATAATGTGGCTCTGTCTCGAAAAATAAAACTAAATAAATAAATAAATAAAAGTCCGGAGATGTAGCTTGGTGTTAAAGCCCAGGGTTCAATTCCCATTACAAAAACAAACAAAAAAGTCACTGCGAATCAGCTATGTGAATGAATCCTGTCATCTCCTGATTCCTGAAACTCCCTCCTCGGTGTCCTGCCACACAGGTCCCTGCCATCTCCCTGGCCTATGAAGCCGCTGAGAGTGACATCATGAAGCGGCAGCCACGAAACTCCCAGACAGACAAGCTTGTGAACGAACGGCTGATCAGCATGGCCTACGGACAGATCGGTGCGCTGGCCTGGGGCTAGGGGAGCCTACCCCGGGGCTTCTTTCTCTAGTGTTCTGGGGGAGAGGAGCCCTAAGCAAAGTTCCAGAGCAGGGGTCAGCTCTCTGAAAGCCAGAAACTTCCATCTCCGCCCTCAGGCACTGGCCCCTTCCTGCTTCTCCTCTGACCCTAGCCCTGCCCTTTGCCCACCTCCTACAGGGATGATCCAGGCACTGGGGGGCTTCTTCACCTACTTTGTGATCCTGGCTGAGAATGGATTTCTGCCATCAAGGCTGCTGGGAATCCGGCTTGACTGGGACGACCGGACCATGAACGACCTGGAGGACAGCTACGGACAGGAGTGGGTGAGTGGACTGGGGAGGTGGGATGCACATTCATGAAAAGGGGGACAGCTGGGACCAGGGGTTCAGGGTGCTGGACTCCCCTCCTCTGACACTGGCTGTGCTCTGCCCGCCCTCCCCAGACCTACGAGCAGCGGAAGGTGGTGGAGTTCACCTGCCACACGGCCTTCTTTGCCAGCATCGTGGTGGTGCAGTGGGCTGACCTCATCATCTGCAAGACCCGCCGCAACTCAGTCTTCCAGCAGGGCATGAAGTGAGCACCCAACCCTACCAGCACCCACCTGCCCAGGCACGGTGCTCTGGGCATAGCCACCGACCTCCCCAGGCTGGAGGTGTGACAGGTCAGGTCACCTCAACACCCTGGCCCAGGTCTGCAGAGGGAGTGTTTGGGTTTTAACCAGCAGGCTGTTTATCCACAGCCAGGTTAGAACTAGGCAAAAGACAAGGAAGGAAAGATAGCGTGACTTCGAGCAAGTCCTAATTTTATCTCCAAGTTGTACTTCATAATCTTTCTCCTTCCTTCCTTTTACATCTCTCTGTACTTCCTTTTTTCCCTCCTTTCTTCCCTTCATCCCTCCTTCCTCGTTTATTCTTCTCTTACTCAAGTGCCACCCACCCCCATCGTCTGTCCAGCCCTGGTTCTCCTGTGCTCCCCACCCCCACTCAGCAGGTAGCCTGGTGCAGAGTGTCACCCTGCAGCGTGAGGTCCGCCTGGGGGTTGTGAGATGCTCAGGCTCTGGTTCTGGCTCCTTACTGTGCGTTGCCAGGTGTGTCCTTTTGCCATGACCCCTGCAATAAGTCCACGCACCCCTCAGCCTCACAACAGAGCGCAGCAGACCATACTGTTTACCCTGCATCACCATAGGTCTCAAGCAGGTTAAATGACTCGATGCCTAAGGCTGCCCAGCTGGAAAGGGCCCCAGGGGCCTGTGTCTGGGGTGCACCCTCCATCATATGGCTCACCAGTCACAGTCTGGCACCCATTAAGGATGCAGTCATTTGTGATTCTAGCAGGCATGGGGATTGAGGCGGAAGACCTCAGGCTGGCTCTTTTCATTTTCTCCTCCCGTAAACAGGGTCTCAATTTGGCTAGGAGAAACTAAGAAATTGGATCCAGGCCTGGGGGCTGGGGCTTTTGGTGGGTCACACCAGAAGGTGGAAACACGACAGACTGACCAGGGGTAGCCCAACGGGGAGACAAATGGAAAGTAACACATAGTACAAGTCCAGTGGGGCTCAGGGAAAGAGTAGAGATGGGGCGACTGGTTAGGGGCAGCCTCGGAGCACCTCAGCCTCCCCGTGGCTCTCTGGTCCCAGAGGTTCGCAGAAATGCTTTCTGCATTATTGCAAAATGCTTGTTGAATGCTCACCTGTGATAAGGAAGCTTGCTAACAGGATGTTAGGTAAAATCCAAGGAGACATACCTCAAAGTAGTGACTATATGTTAACCCACAGCTCTCTTTGGAAGCTATGAATCCAAAAATAAAGTTTAAAAGAGGAAATGGTTGGGCCTGATGGCAAACATCTGTAATCCCAGCACTTGGGAGGCTGAGGCAGGATTACTGTGAGTTTGAGGCCAGCCTGGACTACACAGTGAGACTCCTGTCTCAAAAAACCCCAAACATTATAAATAAAGGGAAATGTATTCATCGCTTATTAACAAATGCAGTTTGAAAGACAAAGCCAGTGAAAATGTGGCCTTTATGAAAGAAAAGCAAGAATATCCTCAGGGGGAGGAGAGTTGGGTAACCACTGGTCTAAGCCTTATAGGGTGACCCACACAACCTCAGAAGGTCCAGTAACACTGTCACTGAACTTTCTGTGTTCCTGAGCTTTCCTGCAATAAGTTTCCATAATTTCCCCAGCAACTCCATGATGTAAGGGTAAAATCTCTATTTTACAGAAAGAGAAACAGCTAAAGAGTTAAACATTGTTTACCACCCAAAGCCAGGAAGTGGCAGAGCTGAGAACAGACCCCACCTGTCCAACTCAGAATCTCCTCCTGAATCTTATCTTGCCTTTCAGTTTCTGACATAGTGGCTTCGCGTGTGTTCCCCACTTAGTTACATGCGACACCCACAGTCTAAAGATTTACAGACTTCCTCCTCCTCAAATCTGTGATGAGCCAGGGCCTATGGGAGAGGCTGAGAAAGCATTAAATAGGCCTGAGCCCTGCACTGAGGGGGCTTTCAAAGCACCTTGCTAGCTAGGAGCCAGGTATGATGATGCACACCCAAAATCTCAGCACTCTGGGAGGTTGAAGCAGCAGGATTGCAAGTTCAAGCCTAAGTGTGGTTCATTTAACAACTTAGCAAGACCCAGTCTCAAAGGAAGACAAAAAGAAAAGAAAAGAAAAGAAAAGAAAAGAAAGGCTGGGGATGTAACTCAGTGCAAAGACCATACATTCAATCCTCAGTACCAGCCTTCCTCAAACAAAAAAAAAATTTCCTGTGTGGACACCACCTTCCAGGCTGGGTTCCTAGAACAATAAAAAGAGTTTACGTTACCTGAAGGCAGGCTCCATGTTGCCCGCAGCATCTCCTCCACAGAGCATATCACCCCACATAATTATTGAATGAATAAATGTATGTGCAAGAGACAACAGTCAGAGATAAATTCAGTAAGCAGAAAAGAAAAAAAAAAAGAAATGCTTTTCTTTGGTTACACAAAGCATAAGAAGAGGATGGTTGAAGAAGACACAGCAAGATGTTATGTGTAACCCTCCTTCATGGGTCTTCTCTCCCCTTTGTGCCCCCAGGGGTTTCCCTGGACCACCACCCCCACCGCCAAGTTTCCTTCAAATGCTACCTACCTTCCTTTCTTTGTCTTCCCAGGAACAAAATCCTGATTTTTGGGCTCCTGGAGGAGACAGCGCTGGCTGCTTTTCTGTCTTACTGCCCCGGCATGGGGGTGGCCCTCCGCATGTACCCGCTCAAGTGAGTGTCTCTGTCAGTGGCCCGAGTGAGTGGCAGAGTGGCACCTTGAACCCCTCTAGGATTCAGGCCAGAGCCATTTGATTCCTACTTTGTGTGACACTCTGCCAACCTCTGATGCTCCTGACACCTTCCTCTGCTGCTTTCAGGGTCACTTGGTGGTTCTGCGCCTTTCCCTACAGTCTCCTCATCTTCATCTACGATGAGGTCCGAAAGCTCATCCTGCGGAGATACCCTGGGGGTAAGCAGCTCCTGGCAACCCCACCCAGCAAGGTCCGGGCCCACAGCAGGCTGCTACTGCAGGCTCCCCGCCATGCTTCACACCCACTAGGAGTCTCTGCTCCCACTGCTTGGTGCCCACAGATCCTGGGGTCCCACACCCCAGGAGCCCCACTCTCTGGAACCTGCCGAGCCTGCCCTCTTTCTCTCAGATTCCACATCCCACCTAATTTACCAGGGGTCTCCCAGGCCCCACATCCCACCAGAATCACTGAGCATCAGAATTACAAAGGCTCTTTGAGATCATCCAGTCTCCTCCATATTTTATGGATAAGAGGAGGAGATACAGAGGTGAATTGATTTGCTCTGGATCTTAGAGCAAGGGGTAGTGGAGCTGGCCCCAGAACTCAAGCCCCCTGATTCCCAGGGTCCACCAACCAGTTGTTTCTCCCTACCCCCAACAAGCATTTTTGATCACTTACTGGGTTAAAAAGGTCCAAATCAAACATGGCTCGTGGGTAGTGTCTCGTGGTAGTATTTTGTGTGTCCAGTACTTGGGTGTGCATTGTCTTTTAACTGGCCTGATATCTAAAACATAGGGGTCTTTACATAAAACCTAAATTTGTGACTTCCAAAAAATCGAGACAGATGTCAAAGCCCATGGCCACATTTCTTCACCTCACCCATGGCCAGCTTCCTCCTTGGACCTGCGCTGGTTACCTAAGGCATTTGCACTTCAGCTTCATCTGCTCTTGCCCCCCCTCCCTGTGCTGAATGCATGGGCTCCTGCAGGCAGGCTGCCTCTCCCTTCCTGCCTGCTGGCTCTCCTCCATTCCCTTCCCTTCCCTCCAGCGGCTCCCCAATCTCCTAAGAGCCTGACCTCTTTCTTCCCCTGGAGTTCATGCTGCACCCCTCTCCCCTCTCTCTCTCACAGGTTGGGTGGAGAAGGAGACATACTACTGAGCCCTTGGAAGGAGGACCAGGCACGGGAGACGGGGTGTTCTGGAGGTGTTGCTGGGATGGTGATGGGGAGGGGTGGAAAAAGATTTGGGGAGAAAGAATGAGACAGCTCAGCAGGCTAAGTTGGCAGGGGTAGGCAAGTAGGCCCCCAGAGTTTGCTCGGTAGCCCTAACTGTGAGCACTCACATTAGACCCACACCCCTTCCCATCCCACTCCACTGTTGTCTATTTTCCAGGGAACTGAGGGCTGCCCCAGCCTTCCCCATGCCCTCTATGTTCACCTTCACCTCCTACTGAAAACGATCAACACCCAAAGGCTGGGACCTGTCTAATCCTGAGAAGTAAATTCTCCGATCACCAGGGTCCCTTCACATCTCTTCTTTTTGCTTACACCCCATCTTAGCTTCCTGCCTGGCTCTGTCCCCCCTGCTTCCCCTCAGACCTTGAAGTCATGGAGGCACTTCCTTCAGTGCAACAGTCTGAGACTAGAATGGGAAGCTGGCTGGAGAGGCCAGGCCTGTCTGCCAATCAAGGCTGGTCGGGGACTTGGAGAAGAGAGGTGGGTGGGAGGTGGGGGTGCTGGCTGGAAGAGGATGACAGCAAGGGAGGAGAAGCAGAAAAGGACAGCTGTGGTGCCAGTGACCCCACAGATGTTGGAAAAGTCTTTAGTCTTCTGGTTAATAGAACCTGCTCTAGCCCTGTGTTTTACCACAGGTAGATCAAATTCACTAATTCACATCTTCGCAGAGCAGCAGCAGAGATAGGATGGGGAGGTAATCAGGGGAGTTGCACAGAAACACACTGTGGGCCTCTCAGCACCCCCACAGGCCCTTGGCTAACAGCCCTCTTGGTCCATGGGGCCAGATGTCACAGAAGGTACGGCTGTCTCGAACACACCAACAATGCTAGATCCTTGGGCACTCCATGCTGTTTTGAGGCCACATATAGCTGCCCGTCCTCTCCCAGGGGCCCCTCCCCCAACCCCTTCCCTTTTATGCCCATCACAATGAATCTGCATCATTCCCGACACTGCCAAGACAGCCTCGGAAAAGGAGCTCCCTGGCCACTGGCTGGAGTTGAGGTGGAGAAGTTCCCAGAACATTCCTGTCTTCTAGGGAAATGCAAAATCAGCTTGGGTCCTGACTTGGTCAGAACCTTTGGATAACAGAGAAAATACATTAAAGACCTGCCTTTGACCTCTCAGGCAGCAGGGCCACTCCAGCCAGGCAAGTGTCCTTCACACCGATGAGCACAGTGTTGGAGAGGGAGTTAGTTTCAGGTTCCTATATAGGTTGGATACTTTTTTCACTTTCTTCCCTCCCTGCCTGTCACTTTTGCTCTGTAGGCAGCTCTGCCCATTCTCAGCCTGGCCTGGAAGGCACTGAGAATGTCCTGCACAGCGAGGCCTCAGTGAGCCAAGCTAGCGAGAGACCCTAAGGAAAATGGGAAGCCTAAGGCAGAGAGAAGGGAAGCCCAAGAGACACAATAGATCAGGCCCAGCAGCAGCATCCCAGTAGCTATGATTTCATAGAACTGGAATTTTGCTTCATCAGAAGTACCTTGAAATAAGTGAGTCGTTGCCTTGGGTTGAAAAACTAACCGGGATACCATATTTATTTGGGCCCGATTAATTTGCAGTTATTGACTGTGGAAAATGTTTATCTCTACGTGATTGATAAAAATGGCTTTGATTTAGTAAATTAAGAACATTAGCAACATTGCTAGGGATGGCATATTTAGCCTACCTAAAACAATACTTTTCAGGCAATTTAGGAATATCCATTTAGAAGTAGCAAGTGCATGGGCTAATTATCACCAATCCTGACATATTTGTTAAAGGAACATCTGCAGCAGGATCATTCCTGATGACCTTCTGTAAGACATTAGTTTGAGGCACTACATGTGTACTTGAGAATAATAAAGTTGCATTTCTCTATGAAAAACAATTCTTAATTGGTTTCTGTAATTCATCCTCATTTCCCTCCCAAACTGTGATATTGAAATTAAGTGCCATGGCAAGACTTGGCTTATAAGAGAGTCTCAAGGAGACGACAGGTGTCAGAGATAGGAAGAAAATGATCTGGTAGCAGATGGTGCAGGTGGACAAAGCTAAAGGAGAAGTTAAGTTGCAAAATAACCTAGAAGAAAATAGAGCAGGAGTCATGTTTCTCCTGGCGAGTCCCACCCTGAAAACCACAAAAGGTGTGTCCAAGACACAAAAGGACCTGTGAGTCCATGAGAAGCCACTTCTGCTTTGTTCCAAACCAAACTCTGGGCACTGTCACCATGACAAAGTGGGGAGGGAATTGGTGGAAATTCACCTGAGTAGTAAATGTTGGTGACCTTCCTGAACGGACTGCGTGTGACCGCAGAGGGACACTTGTGTACTCCGAGGGAGGGTACAAGGCAAGGTCCCTGGGAGTGAAAGATGGAGAGGACAGCTCTCACAGCGGCTTTGAGGTCCTGCACGTGCACCTCAGAAGAACAGAAGTTCTTTCTTACAAGAGCAGCGTTTCGGCCCCTTTATTATAACTCTACCAGAGGCAGCGATGGTGGTTGTCCCTGTAGTGACTGTAAAATGTCCAACTTTTATTTATAAAAGTTTGATTAAAGGAAACTGATTGGAGTTTCCTTTCATCTCAGTGGGGGTCCTTGTTCTTGATGATGTCTCTGCCAAGAACACGGGTCCTTCACGTACCTGGTGTCCTCAGGTCAATCCGATCACTTCTTAGACATTGTCCCCTCAAAATGGCCCTCTCACTCACCTCAAGTAAAGTAATGCTCCTGCTACCTCCTTCTCCATTCTCTTGGTTTTAACTCATAAATACGACTTCAAGTTTGGACAGTTAATAGATGCAAATATATATATAGGACAGAGAGGGTAGCTCCGTGGTAGAGGCTGGCATGTGTGTGGCCCTGGGCTTCATCCATGGCACTACAAAAAATGTTTGCTTATTTATTTATTTGTGCTTTTGTTTACTTGTATGACTCCTCCGGTGTCAGTTCCACGAAGACAGAGATTCTATTTTTCTGTTTATTCACCATCTTTAAACTTAAACATTTAAAACAATGTCTGACACACATCGGGCAATACACAAATATTTGTTGGATGACTAAATGTTCATGAGAATCGAGTAAGATAGAGACTATTATTATGCTCAATTTATAGAAGAGAATACCGAGACCCAGAAAGGTTAAATTACGTGTTGAGTGTCAAAGGAAGAAAGCATAAGAAGTGAGATTCAGAACTGGGCCAGTCTGGTGCCGGGATGAGACTCTGAACCACCATGCCATACTCAGGCAGGTATCAGGCATGGTGCCTGTAATCCCAGCACTCGGAAGGCTGAGGCAGGAAGATCGCTGAGACTTATAGGCCAGCCTGAGCTATCAAGTGAGTTTAAAGCCAGCCTGAACTGCATCGTGAGACCTTGTCTCAAAAAGACAAAAAACAAATGAACATACTCAGGGAGGCACTGAATAGCCCAATGGTGTGGGTGAGAGAGACCAGAAGTTGTGGGCAATGACCTTTTGGGCAGTAGGTTCTGGGGAGACCCACAGAATGGGAGAAGACCTGACCTTAGAGATACAGCAGGGGAATAAGGAAAAAAGATGCAAAGAAACTCAACTAGACTATCTTAGCAAAGCGATGAAAGAATCTTGCTATTGGTCGTAATGTTCAAAGTAGGCCAACCCCTGACCCAAGAGAAATACTTTCCAGGGCATTTCTTGTTTACCTACAGAATGGAAAATATATAATTCATCAGAAACAGGTGACAAGCTGAATATTCACAGTGCTAAGCACACAACAAAAAATAGAACATGACTAGATCAACATCAGAGGAAGACATTTAATACAAGACAGGACTTTCAAAAACATCCCGAAGGCTGAGGATGTAGCTCCACGGTAGAGTCTGGAATGTCCACAGTTCTGCATGTGATCCCTAATACTGCCAACAACAAAAACAAATATTGGTCCCAGAGAATTCAATGTAGATTCTCCTCTAAATTCTTCAAAGAATATCCTTGTATTATTTAATTAGCACTAGAATACAGAAAAGGATTTTGTGTTGCCTGGCTTATCTTTTCTTTTACATTAGATTTTGTTTACTCATCTGTTTATTTATTTTTGGTACCAGAACTTGAACTCATGACTTCGTGCTTGCCAGGCAGGTGTTTATGCCACTGAGCTAAATCCCCGGCCCCTTACATTAGATTTTATTGGTATGCTTTAGATAAACATAATGATCACATTCATCACAGAGAATTTGTACCTGTACGTGACATAACTTGTTTTCCCCTCCCCCAGCCCTCCCTTCCCTCCCTTCTGCCCTCCCCATTACGGAGCTTCATTCCCATGCTTTCCTTCTTTTCTCATTTGTTTACTTTTCCTTTCTCTCCTTTCCTCCTCCCTTCTCTTTTGTTTCTCTCCCCACTAGAACATTTTCCTCCTACTTCAAAATATATTTTGTAGGGGCTGGGGATTTAGCTCAGCGGCATAAGCGCCTGCCTTGCAAGCAAGCAGTCGTGAGTTCAATCCCTGGTACCAATAAAAAGGAAAAAGACAAAAAAAAAAAAAAAAAAAAAAAAAAATATATATATATATATATATATATATATATTTCATTCTTTATTTACACTTTTGGTTTCTCACACCAGAGAAGCAATGCAGTATTCACACATGTGTGTTCAATTTATTTCACTTAAGAGTAAGGACATTTTGTCTCCAGTGTAACTTTTTTTATGGCAGAGCACATTCTATTGTATGAAAAACCACATTGTTATCCATTCACCAGTTGATGGGCATTTGAGTTGTTTCCAACATTTTCCCCAGTTTATCTTACGAGACAAGTAAGCATTTTGATAAAAATTCTTTAATACATACAATAACTTGACTACCACCAAACAGTAGCATGCAGGGATAGTAACTATAAGGAAAACTTTGCTATCAACAGGCATTGACAAGAAAAATGATTAATCATTTCCAATGATATTGACAAGGCTATCAGTGAAACCCAACATCTATTCCTGATTCAGACACTGGAAGAAAAGAGCATACTGGAAAGTCCAGCTGTGTTTGGAGAAGAAGGAAGGGATGAAGTCTAGAAAACTAATAATAAATATCAGCAACTACAGCAAAACCGATAGCAACAGCATTTGAAATCTCAGATAGGGAGTTAGCATTTAAGTGACAAACTGCAATGCATAAAAACATCATTTTTTGTAAACAACAAAACTTACTAACCAAAACCCAGGAAGTCAGCCGAAAAAGAAAGAAGGAAAGGGAAGAAAGGAAGAAAGATTCACGGTAACCAAGACAAAAAAATCTGAATCATTAAATTCAACATCATGGGATACAAACAGGTCAATTTTTAAGCAAATTTTACTAGCAAGGAAATACAACTAAAGGGGCTCTATTTACAACAGAACTAAAATAAACTACCCTCAAGATGTAGTGTGTGCAGCAGATGGTATTTATTAGAGACGTTTCAAAAGCAGAATGAGAGAAATAAATGAATACATGAAGAGCTAAACTTGACTACTGGTTGGGAAGACAGAATAGGAAAGTTAAAAGTTACTCTAAGAGTCAGTTCTACCAACAGAGTGCAAAGACAACTCACAGAGTGGGTAAAAGTCTTAGCCAGTTGTCCCCTCAAAGGACACTTATGTCCATAACTCCTAAAAAGAACTGAAAAAAATCAGATCCCCCAAAGGTAAAGGCCCAGTCCAAAAATGGGCATCTGAGATGAGTACACACTTCTCAGAGGAAGAAACGCAAATGTAAAATAAATATATGAAAAAATGTTCAATGTTACTGGTAATTTGAGAGATGCAAATTAAAAAACTGAGATTCCAGAAAGCTATCATCAAGAAATCAACCCATAACAAACACTGGAGGGGCTATGAAGTAAAAGGAATCCTTCTCCATTGTTGGTGGTAGTGTGGACTGGTGTAACCAGTATGGAAATCAGTGTGGAGATTCCTCAAAAACTACAATTAGAGGTCCCATTAAACCCTGCTGTTTATAGCAGCACAGCAGTTAAATCTTGGAAACAACCCAAATGTGATCAACTGAAGAATAATAAAAAAGATGTGATTTTTCATAAATTATGAAGTATTACTCTGCCATAAAAGGATAAACTTAAGACATTTCTAGGTAATGGATACACCTTGAGACTGTACTCTTAAATGAAATGAATCATGACACACATGTGTAAAGATTACATTGTTTGCCTAGTGTGAGAAACTGAAAGAATAAATAAGAACCAAATGAACAACAGATATTGTGAAATAGGAAGAAATTGTTCAAAAGAAAAGAGGAACTTGAGAGAGGTAAGGGGGAAAGGCAGGAAAGGAAAAATTAAAAGAGATAAAATGGAAAGAAAGCTTTATAAATAAGAAGGAAAAGGAGTTGAAGTGGTGAGGGAATTGGGAAAAAAGAAGAATCAAAATATATCATATACAGGTACAAATTCCCTATAATGAATATGATCATTATGTGTGTCTAAAGTGTACCAATAAACTTAATTTAAAAAAATAAATACATGGCTTTCTGGAATCTCAGTTTTTTAATTTGCATCTCTCAAATTACCAGTAACGTTGAACATTTTTTTCATATATTTATTTTACATTTGTGTTTCTTCCTCTGAGAAGTGTGTATTCATCTCAGATGCCCATTTTTGGACTGGGCCTTTACCTTTGGGGGATCTGATTTTTTTCAGTTCTTTTTAGGAGTTATGGACATAAGTGTCCTTTGAGGGGACAACTGGCTAAGACTTTTACCCACTCTGTGAGTTGTCTTTGCACTCTGTTGGTAGAACTGACTCTTAGAGTAACTTTCATCTTTCCCATTCTGTCTTCCCAACCAGTAGTCAAGTTTAGCTCTTCATGTATTCATTTATTTCTCTCATTCTGCTTTTGAAACATCTCTAAAAGCATACATGGAATTTAAAAAAGAGAATGATAGAACATCCTATAGTATAGAAAAGACAAAGGGCTGCAGATATGGCTCAGTGGCACAGCACCTGCTTGGCAAACACAAGGTTGTGAGTTCGATCCCCAGTACAAAAAAAAAGTCCATTCAATATCAATTGAAATTTCAGTTTTTTAAATAAAACACAACATATTGATTGTGATATTGTGCTGCCAGAGTAATTAGGCAAGAATCTGAGGGGTTTTTTTTTTTTTTTTTTTTTTGTCTTTTTCGTTTTTATCAGTACCAGGGATCAAACTCACGACTGCCTGCAAGGCAGGTGCTTATGCCGCTGAGCTAAATCCCCAGTCCCAAGAATCTGAGTTTTAAAAATACGTAATTATGAAATAGATGGGTGCTATATTGACCCCAACAGATTTTAAAACACATCAGACCAAAATGACTTCATCATCAAAATCTCACAACGTCAGGATGAAATCTGAAAACTCATTCACTGAACACTGAATCAGGAACAACTTGTAGATCAGCCTGGGGTGGCACCATTCCCTGAGTTGGGTCTCTAGACATGATCAAACCCAGAAAGGTCCCGGAGACCTAGACAATTGGCAATTCAACAGATAGATGGGCAGGAAGACCTCACAGGGCAAAAAGTACTGCAGAGGAAGTGGCAGAGGACTGAGGTCAGAGGGACTGCTTTGAATTTGGCAACGAAGAAAGTCTCTGTGAGGTGAGCTTTTGAGCTAAGATCTGTATACGGAAATGGATTGGCCAAAAATCATTTCCACTGATTCTGTCTCCACAAGGTTGCTCCCAGGGACTTCCTACGTGCAGGGCTGTGTTGCTAACAGAAGTCATAAGAAGATGAATTTAGCAATTTTAACTTTTTCTCTAACCTTGCTGTTAAAGACTTCATGAGGATATTCAACAAAAAGACCATGGGAAAACATTTGCAATGTACATGGAAAAATGATTTAAAAAGAAAACAATGGCACATTGTGCAAATGATAAAAACAGTGATAGCTCGGACCCCGGAAAAAAACCCAAGGAAGCAAGAAGTTAAAATTTGGGGAGCAAAGGCTTTATTTTAGGCCAGGCCTGGTGTCACAGTCTCCAGGAGCCAATTTGGAGACTGTGCGCCTTACAGCTAGAAAGGTTGGGTTTTAAAGACGAAAACCACAGGAATGTTGCAAACTTTGACCCAGTTAGTTAGCATCTGGGCCTTACAGAACTTCCTGTAATTTCCTTGAAGTTAAGCATTTCTTAAAGAACAGCACATTTTATTACAGATAGCAGGATGAGGGGTAGGGGAGGGGGTTACAGGAAACTGATACCTAAGGCTTTTACAGTTTTCTCAAGAAATTGAGACTTAACCTAAAAAGATAGGAAGGGAAGGGGATTTACAAGGAGCTGAAACTTCTTTACTGGAGATGGAATTTTAATCTCTATTGAAACGACGCATACAGAACAGGAAGGGGCGCAAGGGTTAAAACTAGGTTACGACAAAAACAAGTCACAAAACAGGAAACCCAGTAGACCAACAAACATAAAAAGAAAATGCTCACATAGAAAACAAAGAAATGCCGATTAAAACTACAAGATAGCAGGTCTTGCTAATTATAATGGTAAAAGTATCAAAGTTCAAGGTCATCCAGGGTGGAGAATGGACATTCTTGCATCCAGCTGATGAAATCTAGACAAGTAAAGCCCCTTAAGGGACAGTTAGCAGAATATTTTAAGTTTTTAAATGAATGCGCCCTATGATTCAGCAGCAAAAGTCCACTCTACAGAAACAGAGGCTAAAGCTACCTGTAGGAAGGATGGTGTAACGGCATTATTTTGAATGGTTAGAAAAACAAGAAGCCTCTTGCACATCCACTCACAGGGGGGATGATTGAGGCGGCCTGTGGTCAGTACAGCGCATGGACTGCCTTGCAGCCCTGAAAAGAAGGCACTTGACAAGTGGGTAAACGAAAGGAGAACTTAAATGATTGCATAACAATGAAACGCACGTCTCCTTTTAGGTCTCTATTTGTCAAAACTCAGAAAAAGACCGAAAGGATAGGCAGCGTCAATATTGACAGCGGTGACTCTGGCCACAGGAAGTTCGAGGGGAAGGAAATGGGATTTTCAGTTTTTATTTTACACATTTTAGTAGAGGAAAAAAACTCCACTCGGTTAAGGAACAGACTAACTTTTATCTCAGTTTAGGAAAGGAAACTTACCATTGTGAATTTTGTCTCTGTTTCTCTTTTGTTTTTTGTTTTTTTGAGAAGGGGTCACACTGCATAATTCAGGCTGAACTTGAACTCATTATGTAGCTTGTACTCACAGTGATCCTCCTGCCTCAGCTTCCCAAGTGCTGCAATTACAGGTATGCGCCACTGTGAATTTTGAAGGATGTCTGCATCTGTATCAAGATGGATGTTTTCAGACACCGTTCTGTTTCTTTAAAAGCACGCAATTAAATAAATATCAAACCACAGAAAGGGAAAATGTTTCTGATATGTAAAACTAAAAAATATAAATGAATGATTGATAGACGTATGCAACTTCTTTAGCTGGTTTTTGGAAAGAGATAAAAATGGTTTGTACATAAGATACTTGTAAAGTGAAACACCTATCCAGATGTCAGAGAAAGGTGAAAGGAAGAGATAAATGCATCATTTTAAAACGAGGGGGTGCTGCGTTGTCACATGGAACGGTGTAGTTTTACTCTCATGCAAAAGACTTGCTCAGTAAGCCACAAACAAAATTCCTGATAACCTGAGCAAGCTCTTTCCTGAGCACCCGCTGTGTGCCAGGCATTGTGTTTCATGCTGGGCTCATGCTTTAATCCTTACCGCTGCCACCCTGAGGTGGCTGGTGAGACCCCCCCCCCCTTTGCGGAAAAGAAAGGCCTGGAGAAGTTAAGTTGCCAAAAGTCATGCAGCCATCAATCAGGGAAGTCAGGATTCACACGCAGTACTGACTCCAGAGCCCAGAGCCCGATCCGTGATGCTCCCCAACCTCCACGAGTGAAAGATCCAATTCAGTGTTGGTGAAGACCTGTGCTTCTCAGGAAAGCACACACAGGCAGTGCACGCGCCTTATTTTTGAGCCAGCAATCTGGGTGGTGCATTTCTAAGCCTCAGAAGATGCCAGACCACACAGGGCTGTGTCCTGGTTTCACTCTCAGACTCCCTGTGACAGAACCATCTCCAAGCATCCTCAGACCCCAACACCAGGGAACGCTGCAGGTTCCAGGTTAGAATGTCCACGGGGCCTTTGTGATGCCTGTTGCCAAGCCACTTGCAGGACTGCAGCTGGGGCTCCCAGCACTCCCTGCACCCCACTGCTGACTGACCCCCCAGAGGGCCGGGAGCAGCTTCAGTGCGAAGGCCCAGGGCTAGCCCAGGCTCACCGCTTGCTTCCTCCTGCCTCTTGCCCACCCCACTCCCTCATTCCTGACCCTTCTTCCTCAGGCCTCTCTCCCCTTCAGGCTTCAGCCTCTGACGCCCCACACCTTGGTCCTCCCTCGGGCTCCTCCCTCCTCGCCCCACTAAGCGCACAGCCTCAGGACTTCTCTCCCTCAGCTCCGCTGGCCTGGCTGAATCCTGGGCTAAGGATGGAGCGCAGAGGAAAAAGAAGGAAAGTGAGTCCCCACGATCGGTATCCAAGCCAGAGGCACAAAAATGAGCCTTCAGTCAGGAAGAAAGGAAAGGTGAAGTTGAAAAAGGGAAAAAAAACCAAGGACCTACAGGAACTGAAGAAGGAGGTGGTCATGGTGAGAACCCAGAACAGATCCCCTCTGAACACGTCCTCTTCCCCGCGCCCGGGCCAGGGCTGCCCATTTCCTCTCTGTTTCTCCTCTCTCCCCACAAAGGCCTGAGCTCACAGTTTCTGCTTCCCTCCCTTCTCCCTTCAGAACGATCACAAATTAACCTTGGAACAGCTGAGCACAAAGTACTCCGTGGACCTAACTCATGTGAGTAAGGGACTCCCTTAGGGAGGCAGCAGGGCTTCCTGAACAAAGCTAAGCTAGCAATCAAGTCCCTTTGTTCTAAGTCCAGCGTTGGTACATTCTATCAGCCAAATGCCACAGGACACTGCTTGGAAAAAAAGACAAGGATACTCACCCACAGACAGCCCAGGACCTAATGAGAGCCCAGGAACGGGTCAGGGCAGTGCTTCGCAAACTTTTCATCCTTTAGACCTTTTATTTTATACTCTTAGAATTTATCAGGGATCCCAAAGAGCTTTTACTCGTGTGAGTTGCAGTAGTCTAAATTTATCATGTTAGAAATTAAATCTGAGCAACAAGAAGTGTTTCTCAACTCATTTTAAAAAGAAGAGTAAACTCGCTATGAATTATTATTATAATCAATAACTATTTTTCAAAACAAAAAAATTACTGGCATCTTACTTTTTGTGAATCTCTTTAATTAGCCTAGTTTTTTGATGTAACACAGGTGGTGTGTTATATCTTTTCTGTATTCCATCTCTTGCACTATGTATGAGTCAAGCAGCATTCAGAAAATTTCTACCAAGCCAGGCATGGTAGCGCACAACTGTAATCCCACCACTCTGGGGGGCTGAGGCAGGAGGATCAGCAGTTTAAGCCCAGCCTGGGAAACTTGGCAACTTAGCAAGGTCTTGTCTCAAAATAAAAAGTGCAAAAGGGCTGGGGAATGTAGCTCAGTTAAAGGCCCTGGTTTCAATACCCAATACTGAAGGAAATAAAAACCTACTATACATTCTTGAGACTAAGAGTGGAAAAAATGATTTAGTGTTACTGTGAAAATTATTTAACTCCATAGGTGCCCTAAAAGAGCTTTCATATCCCTTGGGCTTTTCAGAGGGGCTGTTGAGGAGTAGCTGGTGGAACTGGTAAAGTCTATTGTATTCATTTAAGGAAAAAAGTAGTATAGTAGCGCTTAAGACTAGATGAGAATCTATGCATTCATGCCTTTAGTTGGTACTTGTTCTATTTCCAAGTCAGATAGTCAAAGTGTGGATGTCAGTACGTTATCAGTGGTATATGTCGTATCTCATCATTGCATTGGCCTTGAGCATTAGGCTTATCTATCTCCCCACATGAACTCCCTACTTAGGGAGGATCCTTCTTATTCATGGCAGTATTCTCACACCATCAGGCCCCAATATAGGTGTTCAAATTCAAAAACATTTGTAAATCAATCCAGGAACAAACAAGCCAGTCTTCCTTGGGAAGCTTGCTAAATGATATCCCTTCTATAATCAAATTTTAAAATTCAACCTGATCGAGGAAGAACTTCCAGGCTGCACTTCCAAGAACAGCTTTGGTCTAGGCCTTTCCTGAGGTTATAAATGGAAGGTTCCCCTTTACCATAGCTTCCTCTCTCCTCCCACTGCCTCTCCAGCCCTGTTTCTTCTCCATACAGGGTCATAGTCCTGAAAAGGCGGAGGAAATCTTGATTCGAGATGGACCCAATGCACTTACACCTCCCCGCACCATTCCAGAATGGGTCAAATTCTGTAAACAGCTGTTCACTGGGTTCTCCCTCCTGCTATGGACGGGTTCCATTCTCTGCTTCGTGGCCTATGGTATCGAGCTGTATTTCTACGAGAAAACCGCCAAAGATAATGTGAGTCTGCTCCACTGACCAGTCCAGTCCCAACTCAGTCCTGGAACCTCCTGCTGCAGCAGCCCAGCCCTCCTGAAGTCCCCCTCAAATCCCTAGAGTCCCAGCTCTTCCTAAGGAGACTTTGGCCTATCTTGGTTTCCTTGGCTTTTTAACTGGAGAGCTCCTGGCTCCACCTGCTGAGATGCAGGACCTGTCCCAGAAACTTTCTCATTTCCCAACCAATCACCAAGGCACTTTGGTGTCCTTTTCTGTTTCCCAGAATTGTGACCTCTCTTTCTCCTCTTTCCCAGTCTCCCTCACGACTCTCACTCCTAGCTCATGAGCAGCCTCTCTGGCCTCTGACTTACGATGTGCCTCACCACTCCCATGCTCAGGAATTCTTCCGCAGGATCCAAGTAGTCCCATCCTGTCTCAGGTTCTTCCGAGTCTCTCTGCTTCCCAGCTCAGCCCTCTAGTTTTAGCTTTGTAAACTGACTTTGTAGGATGAAGGAAAAAAAGACTTACTAATGAGCCTTCTCTCCCCATCCCCAGCTGTACCTGGGCATTGTTCTGGCTGTCGTCGTGGGCATCACTGGCTGCTTCTCCTATTATCAGGAGGCCAAGAGTTCCAAGATCATGGAGTCTTTTAAGAACATGGTGCCACAGGTAGGTTTGGCGTGAGAGGATCCAGTGAGAGGAGGTATGGACAGAACCAACTGCAATATTAAGTCCCCAGGAGAATTAACATCCTATGACCAGTGAGCTAAGTCGGGCTGGTTTGGGGAGGGCAGGTCTAGGTGATTTTCTCAGACCTGAAAGGTATTTAGGAAGGCTGTGAACCCCCGAGAAAGACACAACATCACCCAGAAGTAGTCTAGTCTGTAAGGCACAGTTGAAACCCAATGAGGAAATGCTGTACTCCCCAAAATGAGAATATTATGTTAAAAAAAGAAAGAAAAAAAGAAAGAAAGTCATGATTGGTGGAGAGGTTGGATTCTTCAAATGTCAGTAACTTTGATGACAACGAACAGCTTTGGAAATGTTCCAAATAAAGGTGTCCCAAGAGATATGACACCTGAACTCAATACTTAGCCCTAGACCTGATGCTTATTCTGGAGGAGAAAATAATGCTTTACTTTCTATCAGTGCTGAGAATTGAACCCACAGCCCCTTCTATGCTAGGCAAGTGCTCTATCACTGAATTACACCCTTGCCCCAAAATAAAGATATTTAGAATCAAATGACAAAACTAGAATCCAGTTGATAAAGTAAGGAATTGTGTCATTGTGAACTCATTAAAACTGATAACTGTGTTGTACTTATATAAGCGAATATCCAATTCTTGGAAAATTCTCTGGAAATTCTTAGGAGTATTCTGAAGTACTTAGGATAAAAGATCGTGATGTGGGCCGGGGATTTAGCTCAGCAGCATAAGCACCTGCCTGACAAGTGCAAGGTCGTGAGTTCAATCCCTGGTACTGCAAAAAAAAAAAAAAAAAAAAAAAAAAGATCATGATGTACATAACTTGCCCTTAGGTAGTTCAGAGGGAATAAAAGTACACACATACCACAAACATAGAGATGTAAAAATCAGTGGCAGCTGGCATGGTGGCACACACCTGTAATCCCAGCACTTGGGAGACTAAGGCAGGAGGATTGCTGCAAGTTCCAAGCCAGACTGGCCTACAAAGTGAGTTCAAAGCCAGCCTGAACTGCAGAATGAGACTCTGTCTCAAAAAACAAAACAAACAACAAAGAAAATGCTATAAAATGGTAATTGGTGAAAATAGGTAAAGTTTATATAGGTACTCGTGGTCTTATTTTTATTCTTGCAACTTTTGGGGGGCGGGGACAGGGTTTTGCTGTGTAGTTCAGGATGGCCTTGAACTTACTGTACAGCCCACACATACCCTTTTGCCTAGAACTTACTGTATAGCCTCGAACTTGCAGTGATCAATTCTCCGTCAGCCTCGAGAGTGCTGGGATTACAAGCATGCCCCACCATTCCCAGCCTCTTGCAACTTTTCTCAAGGTTAAATTTATTTTTAAATTAAAATTTTTTAAGAGATCTAGAAATAATATGATAATAAGTGAGATTTCCTAGGCACTGGCCTGAAGGCTTACAAAGGAATAGGTTCTAAAATTTCCTAACAATTCTAGGAAATGATAGCCTAGTATGATGGCCTAGCTGCTTTTGGTATCAATATAATTTAATTTTTTCCTTAAGATAAGTTTTGAAGAAAAATACTTTGGTAGTTTTGAGCTACGAGTCTGAAGAACAAACCAAGCACCCCCAAATGTAGCACTTTAAAATAATGCATTCTTTCTCCCCATCCTGTGGCCAGGTTGTTGTTCTGGGTTGGGCTGGGCTGGGCTGGCCTCAGCTGGTGCTAGATGATCTCAGATGACCTCACTCATTTGTCTGAGGCCTCGTCTGAGATGACTGGGACAGTGGGGGCCTCTGTCCTCCAGATCTCAGTCTTTCCAGGAGGATGGCTTGGGCTTGTTACAAAGGGCAGAGGGTTCACACCAACAGCCGGGCAAGCCCCAACCTGAAAGCACTTTTTAAGCCTCTGCCTGCATCTCTTTTGCTAATGTCTTATGGACCAAAGCAAGTCGTCTGTCTAGTAAAGAGATAGATCCAGCCTCATGATGGGAAGACCACCAAAATCACATTGCAAAAAGCCTTGAAGCAGTGGTGTAAGAATGTGCAATCTTCCAAGGACACCTTCAAGAATATTTTGGTGGGTGACCTGGTAAAAATGGGGAGTCAGGAGGGAAGAGTCCAAAATAGAAAGCGGTAGAAGAGGAGTAGCGTGGGACAAGCAGAAGGGTTTAGAAACAGCCTGAACTATTTTCCCATAGCAAGCCCTGGTAATTCGAGGAGGAAAGAAGATGCAAATTGATGTACGAGAAGTAGTGGTGGGAGACCTGGTAGAAGTGAAGGCCGGAGACCGAATCCCCGCTGACCTCCGGCTTATCTCGGTACAAGGGTGTAAGGTGAGGAGACGCAGAAAGTTGGGGACTGAGCTGGTATGGGCTTGGGGTGCAGTAGGGGCCTGAGCTCAGTTAGAGAAAGCATCGTGTTATCCTTCCAAAGGGTAGGATAAGAATTGGGGTAAGAATTGGTGAACAGTTAGTAGCTGTATGCCCTTTAGTGAAAGGTCTAAGCTACTATTTTCACCTTTGCACAATGATGATATTAAAAGCCTTAAGAAGTTACCAGTGAGGTTGCAGTTACAGGCAACCGTCTCTCTATAGATCAGTGACAGCGTTGGTGACACACTGTCTCTATAAATCAGTCTGCCTGTTTTCCCATGCTCACCTGACAACCGTCCTGCTTCCCACCCCAGGTGGACAACTCATCCTTGACTGGGGAGTCAGAGCCCCAATCCCGCTCGCCTGATTTTACCCATGAGAACCCTCTGGAGACGAGAAATATCTGTTTCTTCTCCACCAACTGTGTGGAAGGTGAATATTGAACCCTAAGCAGCATAAATTCAAAAGCACAGACTAAAACAAATTTCAAGAAGCTTCTACCTTCTAAAGGTATTGGGGTAAGAACTGGTGAACAGTTAGTAGCTGTATGCCCTTTGGTAAAAGGTCTAAGCTACTATTTTCACCTTTGCACAATGATGATATTAAAAGCCATTACCCGAGCTGAGTATGATAGCTCATGCCTGTAATCCCAGCACTCGGGAGGCTGAGGCAGGAGGATTGTTGCAGGTTTGAGAACAGCTTGGGTTAGAAAATAAGCTCAAGGCCAGTCTGAACCACATAGTGAGACTCCATCTCAAAAAAATAAAAGGACCCCCTAAAAAGTCATCACCTATAGATTTTTGTGTGGGTTAAATAAAATAATAAGTATAAAATGCTTAACTCATCCCAATCATGTAAAGTGTCCTATAATTATCAGCTATTATTCTAGCAAGTTTTGCTATATATGCTGACATGGACACAGAAGGGAGGAAAATGATTCGTCCCTGTCGGGCTGCTCCTTCCCTGAAGCAAGGCTCTCCAAGATTCCAAGAGAGGATGCTGGCACTGGAAATTTGAGGGACCAGAGGTGCCACTCAGACTTTGGCTTTGCTCCTAGAATCAAGGGCATCCTTGAACTAGGAGGGAGTTTTGGCCAAAGTGATGACCAAGGACTCAACATCGTTCTGTCAATCTCCCAATTTGCCCTTTTCCCTTACAGCTGCCTTAACACTCCCTGGAACACACTTGAAAACCATGATTAATGCCTAAGAGTGAATTTGGGGTATCTAGAAATAACTGCTCTTTATTGAATGCATAAATGCATTTTATTGGATGCTATAGATTTTCTCTCCATTTCTCACAATTCAATATAGTAGATGTTATTCCTATTTTACACATGAAGCACTAAGGCTCAACAAAATTAAGCATCATATCAAAGAGCACAAATCAACAGAAGGGGATGATTAGGATTTCTACTCTGCCTCCAAAACTCAGGCCCTTCCCAAGACCCTCCTCTGCCCTAAAAGATGGCCAATGTCTTCCCTTATAATCAAATCATTTAATTTGAAAATACATTAAAGGATACCATTAAGACTAAATAGATACCAAGGAAAAAAATCAAACCAGAAAATAATACGTATTAAAATTTTAAAATTGGAGAACAATAGCCACACCAGCAAACAAGCCCAGTCTGGGAACCAGCGCCATGCATGGGCCTCTGCCAGACGGAACAGCCAGACCCCAACCCCTTTTGGCACATGGGTTGGCAAACAAGAAGTATTGTAAGCAACCGGCTTATCCAGAGAAACAGGCTGTGATGATAGCTATGGAGGTGAAATGCAATCCGATGCCCGTGGTACTGTGGTGTTTCACTAATATTGCAGGGCTAGGGTCAGTGGTCTGATCATAGGTTCAGAGAATAGTGGTACGCAGTGTGGCATCTAAGGGGATCTCTTTCTGAGGGTTGCAACCATTGTTGACTCCCTATGGTCTTGTTTTGATGTCCTATGTCGTTTCCATTGTTTTGTTGAGTTGGCTTTTATTCTCTTTTGTTTATTCAATTATGTTGAATCCGATGGCAGGAGAAGCTATTTTAAGGATAGCAAGACATATTATGATAGCAATTTTGAATTTATTAGTGGTGTGTTTGAAATCCTTTATTGCATTCATTGTTTTGTTTTTATTGTTTTTATTCTGTTCTGTTCTATTTGATTTTACCATATCTGAAGTTATCCGCAGCTATTTGGAAGACATCAAAAGGCATTATGATAACTATTGTCGATTTCATAATGTTTTGAAGTCCTGTATCTCTTACACTAGCTGGTTTTGATTGGTTTTATTCTGTTTTATCCTCTTTAAAATAAAAAAAATTTTAAATTGAACAGCAAAGTGCAAGTTACCAAACTTTCTTCAAAATTATTGTACTTCTGTATTTTATTTTAGGAACAAATTTGTTCTTCCCAAGTAGGTTTTTCACCAGCTGTGTGTGTGCTCCAGGTCAGAGCACTGGAGGGAAGTGTGCAGTGGCATCCCTTTGAGAAGGAAGCGTCTTTCTAGGTGAAGAAGGGTGTATAAGGAGAGAAGCAGAACCCAAGATACAACCAGGAGAGGGGAGCTGGACTGAAGGTGCTCTTGGCTGTTAAACTGAGGAATTTCTTTGCGGTTTACCCTAGACCAATCTGTCCTTTAACTTTCCCCTACAATGAAAAGCATAACTTTGACCTGTACCCTTGCCTCCTAATTGTCATGACTATGGGCTTTGATGGGCTACATTACACGTGTCTTTCTTTGGACACTCACAGACTCTCTAGGAAGCCTAAGCCATTTCTCTGATGACATGAATGGTATTAAAAGAACTAGTCTGCCCTGGAATGTAAGATTCTTGGTCTTCCCAGTCTTCCCCTACATTGACACCAACCTATCTGCCTCTAGACATATTGGGATTAATTATTAAGCCTCATCTCTCTCAGCATAGAGAAACCATAGCAGAAGAAATAAAAATGAAAAACTAGAGCCAAGAATATAGCTCACTGGCACAGCGCCTGCCCGGCAAGCACGAGGTCCTGAGTTCAATTCCAGGTACTAAAAAAAAAAAGAAGAAAAAGAACTAAATGCACTCATGGCGAAAAATAAATAAGGTGACACTAACTCTACCCATCCATCTCCATCCAGTCAAAAACATAAAGCCCTTCAGCACCTCTCAGTTACTTAAGTATTTCCTTGACACTCAAGATTGCCCTGACACTCTGACAGTAAGTTCAAAGGTCAAATGTAGAATACTTCAGATTGTGAAATTTCCGGAAATCTCCCTCCCCAAACACAGACTTGTCTACAATTCAAGCACCCTGCCCTCAGGCTCATACAGATGAAGGTGACCTTAAGAATGGAAGCCACTAGTTGTGCTAGGCTGATGTTAGTCAGAGTTGCTAGATGAGAGATACTTTCCTAGGATTCACATAAAACATTATAATGGCCCTTATGGAGACACTAAATTCATCTAAGGGGAGAAAATAACTGACAATTGTGTGTCTACTGATCAGTACACTTTTTCAAACATTTAAATTCCCAGCTTTGTAGATATTTTAAAGTGAGTCTCCCAGCACTAGAGGAACTTGCCCCAAGGAACAGAGTTAGTTGTTTGGAAAGTTATACTTTCCCTGAGTCTCATTTCTAAACTTACCTTTTTTTTTTTTTTTTGTACTGAGGATCAAACTCATGACCTTGCACTTGCTAGGCAGGCGCTGTGCTGCTGAGCTATATCTATATCTCCGGCACTGTGCTATTTCTGTCATGTGTTCCTTTCCTGAGTAACTCTGATTTTAGAAATTTCAATCACTATGGTAAAGCAGCAAAAATTAGTTTAAGCAGTATCTTGTTGTGCCCTGTATTTCAAGCCTCATAGGTGAGTGGCCTGCATTACGTGTATGTAAAGCCAAACATGAGGACACAGTTGCCCGCCAGATTTAGGGAGCAGGTAGGGGTAGAGAAAAGGTCAGGCAAGCACAGAGCCCAGCTGTCATGGCCTGTGCTACCCGGCAGAGGTCAGAGTGGCTCCAGCTAGCAAGCGGGAACGGGGCTCAGAAAGGGCTGGGTTGCTCAGCTACTGAGACGTGGGGCCAGAGGATTCTTTGCTGTAGGGGAAAACCAGGGCTGTCCTGTCCATGGCAGGAAATTTATCAGCATCCTTTGCTTCTACCCACTAGGTGTCAGTAGCAGTCCCCTCCCACCCTACTTGGGACATCTGCAATGTCCCCAGACATTACAAGTCCCTTCGAGGAGGAGGAGGGGCAAATTGTTCCCAGTTGACAGCCATCAGATTAGAAGACAGAGGGCTTCTGGGGAACTGGGCACTACCAAAGGGGTAACTGCTGTTTCTGGAGTTGTAGAACCTCTTCAGCTGCTGAGGACAAAACAAGAAATGTACAAGTAATGGGAGTTTTGCCACTTAAGTGTAATGAAGGCTTTCTAGACAGTGAAGGCAGTTAAGCAATAGAATTGGGTACGTCTGGAGGGCCATGAAATCACCTCAGAGATTGTTCTAACTTGGAAACCCTTACTTGCATGCAGTACACACGAGGCGAACAGAGGATACCGTCCTCCCAGAGGGCCTTGTACACCCACCTTGTCTTTGTTCGTGGACAACTTTTTTTCTTAGGAACCAAACCCAACGGCCTCCCCATTTCAGAGTAAGCCTATCTTGGTTGTTTGCCACAGTCAAAAAAGAAAAAGGATTTGTGTTTTTCTTTCTATTCTCACATGGAACACAGAACTCTTCTGTTTCTAAAATGTTTGAAGATTTTCATATCAACCACCAATTTTCCAGCAGATACCAGCTAAGGGTCCCAGAATTCAATTGAGTTCTGACACTGTTTCTCTGGAAACAATGTCAAGGACTGAGTCCCACAAGACAGGTTGTTCATCCGTATCTCTGACAGGCTGCTAAATATCAGGGATCCCATGACTCCTTCCTTGGGTTCAGTTAAGTGGGATGGCTCACTGATCTCAGGAAAGTGTCTGGCTTATATTTTCCCATTTATTATAGAGGTTATTACAATGGTGACCCTTTAGTGGGAAGAGATGCACAGGGCATAGTGTGTGGGGCATGGGCTTCCATGCCCTCTCTGGGTACTCCATCCTCCAGGCACCTCCACACGTTCACCAACCTGGATCTTCTCTAAACCCAGGCTTTTTGTTTTTTTTATGGAAGCTTAATTATATGGATGTGACTGAACCCATCATTGGCTATTAGTGGTCAGTCCTTCTCTCCCTCTCAAAGGTGGAGCAGTGTGGCTGAACATTCAACTCCTGAAGTTGGTTCCCCTGGAAATCAGCCTCTATCCTGTAGCTCTCCTCAGGACCCCACCAAGAGTTATCACATTAAAACAAAAGATTTCTTTATCATCCAGGAAATTCCAAGGGATTTAGGAGCTCCATGTCAGATACTCCTATCACTCAGTTACAAAAGTCTTAGGAACTAGGATCAAAGACTATGTATGGAAAACAAAAGATTCTCCTAGCAACTCTATCTCGGATTTTAGGCAGTGTATGTCAGGAACTGAGGCAGAGGCTAATACAGAAACTTATCACCATATCACACTGCCTCTTTTCTTTTTGTCCACAGGAACAGCCCGGGGTGTTGTGATTGCTACAGGAGACTCCACAGTGATGGGCAGAATTGCCTCACTGGCATCAGGCCTGAAACCTGGCAAAACACCCATTGGTGCTGAGATTGAAAAATTCATCCACTTGATAACTGGGGTGGCCTTGTTCCTTGGTGTCATTTTTTTTGGGCTCTCTCTTGCATTAGGTTATGGCTGGCTAGAAGCTATAATTTTTCTCATTGGGATTATTGTGGCCAACGTACCTGAGGGGCTGCTGGCTACTGTCACCGTAAGTATACAGTGAAGATGGTGGCATCTGGCAAGCAAATACCCGAGGGAAATGAAATCATTCTTGTTGTTGAGCCTCTCAAGTGCAGAGCATTCCTGAATGTGTGTATAGATCAAAAATAATTTAGCTACCAATATCACATTGGCTTTTTCTGCCATATTTTCTGGTCCTTTCTCCTCCTCTTCAGTGAGAGAGAGGAAGCAAGTTGCAATAGAGAATATATTGACTATAGGTCATCAAGAGTGAGTTCTAGCTAGGCCGTGGTGGCTCACGCCTGTAATCCCAGCACTTGTGAGGCTGAAGTGGGAGGATCGTTGTGAGTTGGAGACCAGCCTCGACTACAAAGTGAGCTCAAGGCCTGCCTGAACTGCATAGCGAGACCCTGTCTCAAAAAAAGACAAAAAAAAAAAAAAAAAAAAAAAGAGTGAGTTCTAGTTCTGGATATACTACCTGGTGACCTTGGCTAAATCACTTAACTTCTCCAGGCCTCAATTTATTCATCAGTTTATAGAGGAAGATTCATTTATAATTCTATAATTCTGCTGAGAAAGACTTCAAAGGCCCTATAAATTCAATCTTTGAGCTGATGCTGGACATTCTAGAACATCCTTGAGAGATGATTATTTTTTTATGAATGGGTACTACCTCTTTTTGTCTCTGCCTATTTCATCATTGGATTGTTATTGTTAAACTTCATTATGTTAAAATAGAAATATGATTGCTTCACCTTCATTTTACCAGCTGAAAAAGCATTAAAAAAGTTCTTTTCTATAACTTAGCCCTTCAGAATGTGCATGCCTGCGTGTATGCTAGAAAATCAGAGTCCTGTGGATGCTGCTCAAGTGGTCTATCATTATTGACCTGCACACCCAGTACTCCAGATTTTTGTAGACCTTGTGTCCCTTCAAATTCTCCAGCAGGGAGGAAAACTATCCCTTTGCCTTTTAGTCATTCTTCTATGCCAGTGTCTTTAGACCTTGCTGATGACATGCTTGGGGTATGCTCTAGTTGATCAATATTCTGCTTAAAATAGAATAAGAATAATGCTTTGATTGTGTTTAAACTAATATGAAAGCATTGGGACTGGAGATATTCTGTAAATATAGTAGAGCCCCATGATTAGAATTCCATACCTACATTAACAGTACACTAAGGCTATATTAGCTTTTAAAACAACCTTGTCACACTCCTACTTGTATTAAATTTATAATCAACAGACCAATTCTGGTTTAAATGATTCCTCAAATCCTTTCCAATGCTGTGATACTCCTTCCTAATGTCCTTCCATTGTTTTTTAAAGCTGTGGGCACAACTGCATCTCCACCCACAGCATCTTATTCTACAGGAAAAGATTAGCTGGCACTGTGGTCCTTGGAAAGACTGGACGGGAGAGAGGTGTGGTCTGGATTTGAATGGAAAAGAGGCCTCTAGGCAGAAGAGCTGAAAGACCTTAAGGGAGGGGGTCATACTCTATGATAATCTGGCAAAAGAATACATGGAATACATGGAATCTCTTGCCAGAAACCACAAACCCAAACTTCCTTAATTTGGTTTACCATGGGCCCAGATGGAACTGAATGAACACATTTACAAAACACAAAGTAATGCGAGTAGTTCATGCTCTCTGTCCCTTCTCTCCTGCGCCTGGCCTCAGGTGTGCCTGACGCTGACAGCCAAGCGCATGGCATTGAAGAACTGTCTGGTGAAGAACCTGGAGGCGGTGGAGACGCTGGGCTCCACGTCCACTATCTGCTCAGACAAGACGGGCACCCTCACCCAAAACCGCATGACTGTCGCCCATTTGTGGTTCGATGGGACTGTGCACAATGCCGACACCAGAGAGGAAAAGACCGGTGACTAGTGGTGTTGGTGCACCCAGAGCAACAGGATTTGGGGGGCTGTGATGGGTGAGCTGAGTCAGTCCAGTCACTGAGATGACTGGAGAGAAGGCTGGGTAAGAAACAGGATATGAATAACCCCTGATTTAAGAACCTTCCTACGCCTTACAGTTCTTTCCTTCTTTCTCCCTAGAGAGATTCTCCAGGCGGTCTGAAACCTGGTTCATCCTGGCCCAGATTGCTGGTCTCTGCAACCGAGCTGACTTTAAAGCTGAACAGGAGAACCTACCCATAGCTAAGGTGTCAGGCCCAAAGGGGAAGAGGGTGCCTGGATGTCCAGGGTGTCACTTGTCCTCTCCTCAGATTTTCCTTCCTGGGGTGTGGTGGTTTCTCCCAGGCACCCCTTCTCCCTGTGGCCACAGGTAAATCCTGTGCCCAGGCTGGCAAGTCCTGAGGCTTATTATGCAAACCCATCATGGCAGCGGGAAACAACAGGGGATGCTTCAGAGTCAGCCCTCCTCAAGTTTGTCGAACAGAGTTTCAGATCTGTGAAGGAGATGAGAGAGAAAAACCCCAAAGTGGCAGAGATTCCCTTTAATTCTACCAACAAGTACCAGGTACAGAACCGGCAAAGGTAGGGGACAGGTGGTGAGGGAGGGGAAGAGAGGTTGATAGCTCAGGAGAGAATAATTCCAATTAAGAGGAAGTCTTCATCAAAAAGGGGTGACAAACAGGCCAAAAGAGGTGAACCAAGTGACAGCAGAAGCGGCAAAGTTGCATTCTAAGCAGACCCACACCACTGGTAGAGACCCACACCACCTGTAGAGAGCAAATCCAAAAACTACACTCTGAAGCGTTAGGAGAGGAGAAAGACTGGTCAGGGACTGTCACGTTAGCATCACAAGTAGCTACTGGAGACAGCTGTGTCCACCATGAGATTTGCCACTGCAGAATGAGGTCCCGTCTGCAGACACTCTGTGTCATTAGCCATCCAGCGATTCCTTTCCAGTGGGCTGCTATCTGGCACGCCAGTGACCAAGAGCCTCCGGAGTGACTGTGAAGTTTTTCATTTCCCAGGGATTTGTTGATCCGTGATCTAAGGAAGAATAGACAAGAGGAAAGGAAATGCTGGCTGGGGAACAGCAGTTCACAAAGAATAAAATCTCCAGAGGGACAGGAAAGACAGTGTTTCTGTCAAGCGACAGCCTTGGCAGACTTCAAGAGAGGGCTCCAGTAGAAAGTAGGGGACAGTGGTTTTACCGCAACTAGCATCTCCCAGGTCATCTGGGCTCTGTGGGTGGGGTGGGACTTGGTGAAGGAGTGAATTCCCTGCACTGCCGTAAAGGTGTGTGTAACGCCGAAGGGAAACGAAGCCTCCATTTCAGTGTTGCCTTTCTGCCTTAAAAAATACATGAGAAAATAACACAATCTGTGTAGATTTCCAAAAACATAGTTAACCTAAACAGATTCATATTGAATACTGAGCTAGTAAGAGTTAAACAGATCCGTGCCTTCCTGTCTCGCCTGGTTATTAGTCAGTGTAATAAAATCGGTCTCCTAGGCTCAGGCTGCAAATTTGATTTCCATTTTTGTGGCAATTGGTGGCCTCAGTAACCAGACAGGAATTTCAGGGCTTGGCTAATCGTAAGTAAAGCCTTTGAAAAGAATGAGGTACTTCTCCCTCCATGTGATTTAAAATAAAAGCAAAACATATTCCTAATATTGATAGGACAGCCAAAAAATAGCAATATTCCCTGAAATTACTATGTTAGAAATTCTTCTGAGCTACTGCATATCCAGCTCAAGGGACAGGACTGACTTTTGATGTACACCACGTGGTGGCTCAGCAGGTGCCTGCTCTGGGAGACTGAGTTAGCTGCCTTAACTAGCTTGCTGTAAGGACAGTCCACTCACTGCAAGGGGCCTCTAGGCCTACTGGCCACTTGCAAAGCTTACTGGTTTCCCTCTCTTGTTTTTTTTTGTTTGTTTGTTTGTTTTTGTTTTGTTTTTGTTTGGTTTTTTTTTTTTGTCTTTTTCCCTTTCTATCGGTACCAGGGATCGAACTCACGACTGCCTGCTTGCAAGGCAGGTGCTTATGCCGCTGAGCTAAATCCCCAGCCCCTTGGTTTCCCTCTCTTAAGACAAGTGAAAGGAAAATTCTCTGTTCTGGCACTTCCGGTTCCTCCTTCCACCTTCTCTATCTGTAATCTATTAGACGTGATTTATCTGTGCACGAGCTTAGGTGGGTGTTGCTCTTACCTCTGGATCTTTTATTCATTCAACAGAGGTTTCTTGAGCATTCAGAAAATTGAGGTTGGTTTTTTTTTTTAACATTTTATAGTTTTCTGCTTCAGGAGTCAAAGATTTTCCTGTGAACTATTTAAGCATATTTTAAACATAATTGAACAGCCTGTAATTATGGTTGTAACCACATTCTACAAGCTGCTTTTAGTTGCCTTTGGGGCAAGCTGTCTGGTCTCCCCTAGGCTCCTACACTTCCTTTCAATGCACTGGTGTTGTTCCCTACAGGCGACACCACACGGGGCATCTCCTGTCAACCAGAGGAACCCCCTGTGTCACCTGTAGGGAACTGAAGTGCAGGGATTAAGGTGAATTTCTGCTCACTCCTGGAAGCTGCTGTGATTGTGACCCACGCCTGTAATCTTAGCTACTCAGGAGGCTGAGGCCATTGGATAGGAGGATCACAAGTGAGAAACCAGCATGGGCAATGTAATGAGATCCTGTCTCAAGATCAAATTAAATTAAAAGGGCTCAGTGAGAGAGAGCTTGCCTAGCATGCACCAGGGTTCCATCACCAGTACCACAAAAAGAAAATTAAAAAAAAAAAATCGAGGTATTCACAGAGAGTTTGTTTCCATGGATCAGAGAGCAAGAGAAAATGCAAAACCTAAGCTGATCTTATCTCTCTCTCTCCTGGTTCCTGAGGTCTCCTCAGACTCACTTGATGAATAGGCCCCTGCCTGGCCACCACACTGAAGCACTATAGCTACTGATCTCATAGTAGGCACCGGGATGCCCGAACTGTTGTGCTTCACAATTTTCCAAGTATTCTTTTTTTGATTCCTCACAACTCTCTGATATAAAACCCAATCAAGCAGGCAAAACAGAACCTTTTACATGTTATGGAAGGAACTAGGGTTTTGCAGAGTTAAGTAGCTTGACCTGAAGTTGTAACACTAATTAAGGCATTCATACATGCCAGCCCTAGAACACAGGTTTACTTTTGGTTTTCCTTTGGGTTTTTTTTGGTCTGGTTTGGTTTGGGTTTAGAGACAAGTTCTCACTGTTCCAGGCTGGCCTTGAACTCACTGTGTAACACAGGCTAGCCTGGGACTCAACACCTCCTTCCTCAGTCTCCCAAGTTCATGGGTTTATAGGCATGAGCCACCGTGCTCAGCAAACACAGGTCTTTGGGCACCTGTGCTGTCTGTCAGCAGTGAGAGAGTCTGTCCTCCCTCAGAGAGCTCTGAGAGTCCTGTGCAAATATTACCAGGCGGAGGTTTCCTGGGAAGGGGAGCTGGGCTCAACCTTGAATCTATTTTGTGTAAATGAGACAAAGGAAGTGGTGGGGAAGAGCAAAACAGTTTGCTTGTCACTTTTTTTCACCTTTACAACCTTAAGCTGAAGTAGGAGAACCACAGTTTTTACCCAGTTTGGGCTGCCTAGCAAACTCAAGGCCAATCTGAACGACAGAATGAGCCCTGTCTCAAAAAAACAAAAAACAAAAAAAAAAAACCCAGAAAACTTGGCGTCTGCTTGGCTGTGCCTGGCCCGGTCCTTCTGGCCCATTGCCGCTTCCTCTCCTCTCTCCAGATGTCCATCCACCGTCAGGAGGGCAGCTCCCAGGGGCATGTGCTGATGATGAAGGGAGCTCCGGAGAGGATCCTCGAGTTCTGCTCCACCTTCCTCCTGCATGGGAAGGAGTTCCCAATGGATGATGAAATGAAGAAAGCCTTCCAGGATGCCTACTCGGTGCTGGGAGGCCTGGGGGAACGCGTGCTAGGTGAGGCACTGTGGGAGCACTTTTGAAAGAAGGGCATCAAGTTGGCTGTTTGTGGGGTGCACAGTTTAGGATATGAGGTAAGACAGAGAGACGAATGACCGTTGGCCCCTTTTTCTCTCTCCAGGGTTCTGCTTCTTGAATCTTCCAAGCAGCTTCTCAGCAGGATTCCCCTTTAACACAGATGAAATAAATTTTCCCATGAGTAACCTGTGTTTTGTGGGCCTCATATCCATGATTGACCCTCCCCGTGCTGCTGTGCCTTCCGCTGTGAGCAAGTGTCGTAGTGCGGGGATTAAGGTAAATTCCTGCTCACCCCCATGACCTGTCAGAGTTGAGAGATGCTAGTAGAAAGCCTTGCACAGAGTAGGTGCTTAGAAATCTTGGCTAAATTGATTTCTGCCTCCTTGAGCTTATGACTTGTGGCTGTAGTTGTTATAGTTTGAGTCTTTTTTTGAGGGGGTGGGGGGTGACATCTCTCTGCATTGCCAAGTCTGGTCTCAGTCTCCTGAGTAGCTGGCACTATAGATGTGCACCATGGCTGGTCTTAAGATTTTTAGTTTTAAGACATTTAATACTAACTTCCCTCTATATCAAGAATTCTATCTCCCAATGGACATTAGAATCACCAGGGAGGCTTGAGAATTCTTGTATCTCACACATATCCCAGAGTCACTAAATTAGAAATTCTCAGGATGGTCCCAGGCATCTGTAGGGAACCCAATGAGCGCACAAGTGGTGAGAACCAGTGTTGAGCACGGTGCTTCTCCCACTACCATGCAGAGGAGTTGCTAGTGGGTGATGCCCAAGTTGCCAGTCTACAGACCTCAGAAGAGGAGGGGGAGGGGAAGAGTGCTGGGAGCTGTCCTGTCACTGTGTCGCTGGGATTAGTGGTAGAGGGGTGAGAGGCTGAGGGGGCTGGAGGGCTGGAGTGGGCAGCAGTGAGAATGAGATCCTGAGAGCTGCAGAGTCCTCAGTGGGTCTGACTTGCAGTGAGCAGCTTCCCTCACAGGCTTATGTCCAGAAGGGAAAGCTAGAAGTGAAATTAACTTGGTCCAAGGATAAAACTTCATGGATGGCAGCAGTGGGATTTCTCTAATTCTGAGATGCCTGCATGTCCTGGGTCAGAAATGCAAATACATCTTTACCGATAAGATCCTGAGCCCTTGCTTGCTTGTACCTCATATTCGGAATCCCTGCCTATGTTGGGTCCTAGACGTGAAGGAAGGGGAGATGAAAGCAGCAAAGTGGAGGTGTTTAGAGAGGAGGAGTATATTCGGCCTGTGACTGTTGGCAGTTTGTCAAGGGGCCAATCCGAGCCATTCTGAGTTCAGTGATTTTGGTCACTAAAGAGGGAAACCAAACAAGGATGTGGGAAATTATTGTGAGTGAATTCTTCAATCACTGTATTACAAGATGCCTTAGGTGCTAAGTTCTTTGCAGACATAGTACTCTTATGGCTCATCTGCAGAGGATAACCAAGGTGCCTTGTGTCCCCTGACAGGTCTATAAACCTCCACATGGCACTGTGGAAGGGGTGCATTTGTATTTTCTGAGTCTCACTATAGACTATTAGGATGAGGAATAATGCTGTGAATATGGTGTAAAATTTGTCTCTTCTGGGAGTTTATGGGTCATTTTAGGAAGAAGATAGTCACAACTGTGCCAGCTGGTAAGAAGATTCAAATAGGGATCAGGGGTGGTTCAGTCAGGATGCCAATCAGGCCAGGCTGTCAGCACAGCACGAACTCTGAGGGCTGACCATGAACTGGCAATTGAAGCAGGGGCCTCTGTGCTTTCTGGCCAGTTCTTGTTCTGGGCACAAATTTACAAGTCTTGCTCTATTCTCTTACCTCCTCCTGGACACTAACTGATGGACATTTGGCAGACACAGTGAGACACTGGAAATTGACCCTTCTTCCCTAAAAGGGAAGGGTGAAGCATGTACATGGTACCATCCTGCAGAGGAGGTAAAGTGGAATGGACACACAAGAGCTTGACCCATGGGTCTCCTTGGAAATGACATTGGTGCCAGGCTGACAGACATTACCAGGATGCTTAGTAAAAGTGGTAATGGTTGCTGCACTGCCACAAAGACTTAACAAATAAATGACAGGGGACAGAGCTTTCCCAAGTAACTATGTGCTCATAACTTTGGAAGAACTGTGATTTTAAAAAATTAAGAAGTGTTCCCATTACATTTCCCCCTAAATGAGGATCTTGGTAGTATGAAGATATTTGGTTTTTGCTAGGAACCTGCCTCCCCACCCTCACCCCCACCCAAGAAGTGCAGTTGTGAGATCCTATGGGTGTGTTACCAACACTGGAAGGTTGGGTCTGATCAGAGGAGAAGATAGAGGAGAACAAGAGGGTGGCTTTTAAGGCTGCATGGGAACCTCAGAGGTATAGTCAGCATGAAGAAGTTGGAAAAAGACATTCCTTTAGTACTTGATTATTTCCAGAAACTGCCAATGTGTTTTGCTTCAAAGGGAGCCATTCTCTGTAGAACTGTGCATCTATTGTACGACTGTGTCTCAGTGTTTACTAGAGACTCACTCTTGGGGTGACTGACATAGTATTTTTACTTCCCCAGCGTGGCATGGAGATAGTCCTGCTGGAAGGTACTGAACTGTCCATCCGAACAGCCAGACCAGGCTAGGTGCTAAGTATGTCCAAGAATGATGCCATACCTTGTCCAGCAGATCCTAGGTCACTATTAATGAGTCACTGCAAGGCTTGCAAGGCACTGTAAACCAGAACAGTAAGGGCTCAGTGTGAACCACATCTGAAGGGCAGTCTTCTGTGCAACTCTTGCTCAGGTCCTCGCCTGGTACCAAGCATCCCAGGGGCCAGGCTTGTAAGGATCCAATGCCCCCACTAAGACTGTGGACAATAGCGGTCATGGGTAATCCCTCAGTGAAATTCTGTTGTTTCAGGCTATCACAGCCTGTTAGCACTTTCCCGTCTCCCTTCCACTTCATCAGGGGAGCCAGTGTAGAGTAGCAAGGGCTCGGGAAGCACCATAATGGGCTCTTTTTTTTGGTGGAGGGACTCCTCCGAACCTTGTTTCCATCAGTCAGATGGATTCCTTCTCACTCTCATCAGTTTGAAAAGCTGTGTAGGTGCGAGCTTGGGAACCTTGGACAGTAGCTCCCATGTAGTCACCATTGCTTCATTTCCTCATTTGCTAAGTATTTGTTGGTGGCTTACTTGTCCTAGGCAAGAAGCTTAGCAAGCATCCCACTCTCACAGTCCAATGGGGAGAGAGAGAGAGAGAGAGAGAGAGAGAGAAGCTAATTATCACACTGAGAAGTGATAAGTGCTGAAAAGTGGAAAAGAACAGACTCCCACAAAGACACAGAGCATGGGCAGCTCATCCCAGGGTAGGATGTGACAGAGCTAGGGACCCAGTAGCCAAAGACAAGTTGCAACTGAGGGGCAGATTGAGACAGGGAGACAAAGACAGAGTGGGGATCTGAGTGCCCTGAGACTTGATAAAATGTTGGGAAGATGGATATTCTGGACATTCCTTTACGACCACTCGTTCTAATTATGTTTCTGACTTGGCACTTAAACACAGCCACTATGGAGCAATTAAATAGAATGGTGACTATGGTAAAATACCCCAAACTCGGACTTACTCCTGGAGATCTAGAGCATAAATCTTCCTGTGTTTTATGGTCTGATGGTCCTGACTCACTCCCTAAGGTTGAAGCCACAGTGGAAAGCATTTGGTATCTATGACAAGTTCTTAGAAATGGTCTACTGAAACCTTTGTTGCATGACGGTAGTGACTATGGGAGGAGAAAGAGAAGAGATCAGAGCTCCAGAGGATGATTCTATCCCTATCCCTCTCCCCCTCCCAACCCAGGTGATCATGGTAACAGGGGATCATCCCATTACAGCCAAAGCCATTGCTAAAGGTGTGGGCATCATCTCAGAAGGCACTGAGACAGCAGAGGACATTGCTGCCCGGCGTGGCATCCCTGTCAGCCAGGTCAATGTCAAGTAAGACCCCTCAAAAACTCAGATCTATCATTTTTTCCCTCCATCCTCAGTCTGTCCCACCCAGGTCCTGGTTATTAAAGTTCTGGCATTTTCCTTCCATAGGTAGGATTGCAGAGTTTACACATTGCAATTATAATGTAAGAAGGAAATAATCAACTGAATATGTCAGTGGGTTGGAAAGAAAGAAGTAGAAGAAAGTGGTTGGCAAAAGAGGGGAAGAGATGGAATGTATGTGTCACTTAGGGGACAGCATATGCTGGGGGCCAGTGACAATCCTGGGTTGAAAGAAAAATCAGAGAACTTATAGTAAAGGTTGGTCAGAGGGCAGGAAAAGCCTCAGAGCCAGCCTTTTGAAATTCTTTTCCTCAGGGATGCCAAAGCTATTGTGGTGCATGGCTCAGAGTTAAAGGATATGAACTTACAGCAGCTCAAACAGATAATCAAAAACCACACAGAGATTGTGTTTGCTCGGACCTCGCCTCAGCAGAAGCTCATCATTGTGGAGGCCTGTCAGGAGCTGGTAAGAGAGGCAGAGGAACCTGGAGGAAGCTAGCAGAACTCAGGTGGCAGAACTCAGCCTCAAAACAAGCAGCGGAACATGTGGGCTGAGCTAGAGGAGACTCCAGACAGTATCCCACCTTGAACCTCCACGGTAGCGTTTAGTTTAGGGCTATCTTGAGGGAACAGGAAAAGGAAGGGCCAGGAGTCCTGGATCAACATGTGTATAAGAAATGAGAAACTGAAGTCAAACTAATCTTTGGAACTAGTCCTGAATCTTGCACACTAATTTTTTTCACTCCTTCTTTCTGGACTTGACCAGGGAGCCATTGTGGCGGTGACTGGGGATGGGGTGAACGACTCCCCTGCATTGAAGAAGGCTGACATCGGCATTGCCATGGGCATCACCGGCTCTGACGTCTCTAAGCAGGCAGCCGACATGATCCTGCTGGACGACAATTTCGCCTCCATTGTCACAGGCGTGGAGGAGGGTGAGGAAGCAGGGTGCCCAGAGTTGGGTCTTGCTCCTGTCTGGGTTTTGGGAGACATTACTCCTATTTGCTTTGCCCATCATCCAACCTCCATGATCCTGAACAGGTTTCAAAAAAAATATAAGACAAAATTTTGCAGATTAAATTTAGCTGATACTTAGAAAATCATTTTTTTATGAGATTGGAGGAAAATGCAGATTTTCCAGGGAAACTGGGACTCTGGTGTAGGAGATCATCCTCTTTGTTGTCTCACTGAGATTAGGTGTGTAGAACGTGCGTGTGCTTACAGCCCTGGGAAACGTCCACATTCTGTAATATTCAGCAGTGTCCCTAAAGATGGTGACATTCAAGAATGGTTGGAAACCATTCATAAAGTGACTTCATAATCCCGATTAAGCACTCTGTTTCCCAGAGTGCACTGAAAGAGAATGCCCACTGGTGAATAGAGAGCCCTAGAATGCTGTACCCCGTTCTTTGCTTTCTGCCTGGAGCTATCTTACTAAAACACGATAGCCCACATAATAATAATGGTTACACTTTATTGAAACCTAGTATGATCCTAACATTTTGAATAGTCATTCAATTCATTCATTTCTTTTAAGCACTGGCTGTGCATGCAAGGCATTATTCTAGGTACCGGGAATAGAATGGTGGGAGGAAAAAAAATGCATGATTCCCTGCCCGCATACAACTTAATTTCTAGTGAAAAGAGACAGACTACTGTCTGCATACTATGCAAATTGCCTACTATGCTAAGTGCAATGGAAAAAATAAAACATGTAGTGCAGGGAGGGATTGCAGTCTTTGAAAGGGTAGTTAGGGAAGAATTCAGCAGTCTTGCAGTGCAGGAGAAATGATGGCCAGAAAGATAAGAGGTACTCAAGGTTACAAGCTGCTTATGGCAGAAAATGAGACTCAAACCCATCTGTCCCGATCCCTGGCTCTTTCCACTTCAGGCTTAATCTTGGAAAGGCTTTAATTCTGGTATTCTCAGACATCTCAGGATTAGTGAGGCCTCACTGTGCTACAGTTTCAGAGATCAGATATCATTAGCCATTTTGAGTCCAAGAACAAAGAGTACAGTCAGGACGTGCTAATAAATCATAGCTCTAATTAATCATCACACAATCAGGGACAAAACCAGGACTATCATCAGTGTGTAGGATTTCCCAGCCTTTTCATGGACCATGACATTTCTTTGCAGTGATCTCTATATCCAGGCGCTGATTGGTGAGAGGTCGGTCCTATCAGTGCTCCTCACAGAAGGTTGGCCTTCCTTTGTAGGTCGCCTCATCTTTGACAACCTGAAGAAATCCATTGCATACACCTTGACCAGCAACATTCCTGAGATCACTCCATTCCTGCTGTTCATCATCCTTGGTATTCCCTTGCCTCTGGGCACCATCACTATCCTCTGCATTGACCTGGGCACGGACATGGTGAGGACCAGGCTGGGACCTGGCTCAGGGAACTCCGGCAAAATAGATTGGGAGTAGGAGAAAGCTTGATTGTGAGGTGGGTAAAGCTGGAGCTATTCCTGAGTTTCCTTCTGAACTTTGTGACTCCATTGTTTCATTCCTCTGACCTCCAGGTACCTGCTATCTCCTTGGCTTACGAGTCCCCAGAAAGTGACATCATGCAAAGGCATCCACGGAACCCAAAGACTGATAATCTTGTGAATCGCCGTCTCATTGGCATGGCCTATGGACAGATTGGTGAGTGCAGAGCAGTGAGGCAGGGAGAGAGAAGGAAATAGCTGTCCACTTGAGCCCTCTCCGTTTGCAAATAGGGAGACATGTTCTCAAGCACAAAACGCACTAGGTGTTCACAACACAAAGAGCTGTTGATCTCTGAGTTGCCCTTGACACAGGGCCCAGTAAAAAAGGAACAAAGGTGCCTAAAATATTAGCATCTTTCCACATGCCACAGGATGAATGTAGACTTCACATGCAAACACAAAGCTAGCAAGATCACTAATTTTGAGGACAGTCAGAGAGGTTTTATGGAAAAAACAGAGCTTAAACTTGGTATTGGAGGATAAGGGCTTAAACTAAGTACTGCATATAGACGGATGTGGAGATCAGCAAAGGGGAAGCTCACAGGGCGTTGTTAGAGAAGAGTGACTAGACCACTTTGGCACTCTTGGTTTCCAAGAGGAAGTAGAAAACAATGTTATAGATAGCGATAGCATCTATATTGGGTCCAGCCTGGAAAGACATTTGGGAGCCATTAGAGGACTTTGTTCTGGAGTTGCACACATGTTGGGGTATTTCAGAAGTAGAAGAGGCATGGACAGGGAAAGATTGGGAACAAGAGAGGCAATCCCAATATCTATGAGAGGAATCATGTAGAAAAAGCACAGACTTAGGAATCAGACCTATGTTTGAATCCTAATTTCACCACTTCCTAACTGTATCATCCTGGACAATGACTGGCTTTTGTGTGTGGGTTTCAGTTTTCCCACTCATGGGACATAGATACTAGTTCAGTGTTGTGAGGATCTGTATCCACAAGGTACTCGCACAATGCACAACTCTATAGTTAGTAGCCAAATATTAACATCAGCTGTCACCATGGCCCAGGCATGAGAGACAAAATTTTGGCTAAAGAAGAGGCAAAGGGTAGATAGCAGAGAAATGTCAAGAGGTTAACACTTGATAAATGTCCAAATGTTGGAGGAAAGGGAGTCACCCAGCTCTTGTACTTTTAAGATGTGATTCAAAGATGACACTGGGTTAGAGTTTAAAAATAAATACCAGATCTTGAAGAGAAGACCTTAGATGAGGGATCAGATGTTGAAGGCAAGGATCTCTACTCCTGTGCAGACACACACCACGCCAATAGAGGCGGGGCCCAGCCTCTGCCCCTTGGACTGACTGCCTCTGGGTACCTTCTGTGATTGTCCTATGGCTCTGCCACTTCCAGGGATGATCCAGGCTCTAGCTGGATTCTTCACTTATCTCGTGGTCATGGCTGAGAATGGCTTTAAGCCTCTTGATCTGCTGGACATCCGCCTGAGCTGGGACGATCCTTTCCTCAATAACCTGGAGGACAGCTATGGACAGCAATGGGTGAGCGGAGAGGCTAGGGTAGGAGGGAGGAAGTGACAGGGCAGAGAGTGAGCTTGGCAAAGTCTTGAAAAGTGGGAGAAGGGCGGCACCAGACAGAATAGATATGTCATCCCCAGTCCTATCTGGGTGCTCAGTCACTTGCCTGAAACTTCATATCACATCTGTAAACTTCTCTTTGTTTACCATGATGAAATTTCAGTTGTTTCCTCTTTTCCTTGGCCACCCCACCTTCCCGAATTCCTTGCAACTGGAGCCTTCTTTGTCATATCAACTCTTCTGAGCTGACTTCTGTTTTTCCAGGTTTTGAACATGATTGCCCCCCAAATTAATGCTGTGTCCTCCCATTACCTTCCCTCCTCCTGTAATAGTTTACGTAATGACTTGAAATTTAAAAAAAAAAAACTTATATTCTTTATATGTTCCATCTGTACTATTCTAAACTTTTTAAATGTAAAGGACGCCTCTCTGTGGTCATCTTTGCCAGCATCCAAGATGAATGAGAGTCATACTGAAGCCCTCTCCTCGCTAATATGGGCTCAAGAATTTTAGTATTTTTTTTTAACTGAATACCCTCATCTCAATTTCTAAATCAGTGAGACGTGGGACACTAATTATGCATAGAAATACAGAATCACACATAGACTGTTATCTTTATTCACTCTGTAAGTAAGGAAATGAAATCTAGAAAGATGTAACCACTTGCTCAAAGTCCTGCTGTGAATCCCTAGAAGAGCTGGGTTCGGGTTCTGAACTGTTGCTTCACACCTGGCATCTTCCCAGCGCACCCTGATACCTGCAAACTAAGCTAGTTGCAGGCTTCTCAAAAGTACATTCAGACATGAGTTGTTGGAAGGACAGCTGTCATTCACATGTGGCTTCTGCTAGCTGAGCTCCGTGAGGCCATCAGACATCAGTGTCTACAGCCACCAGTGTGGCTCTAGAAGCCAGTGGTGCCCAAGGTCCGCAACACTGTTCAGCAGGCCACAGCTCTCAGCCCTCCACTCAGGTGCTGGTCAGTTTCACAGCCTGATCCCTCCTCACTGCTGCCCAAGACATGATGTGACATATTTTTTTTCTCTTTGAGAGATTCAAGATGTGACATATTTTACTTTATGATAAATGAAAGATAATTAAAAGTAAGTTAAGTAAACTCCTTGTAACCTAAAGACACCTTAAAGTATTAGAAAAATGAGTTGAGAACAGTTGCTCTGAGGAGCAAATTTCATAAAGCCAGGGTCCATTTGTGTCCCTTCCACAATTGTTAAGTATTAGATTATCTAACATAGTAGAGCTCCCCACTCAGAGAGTACACTACTTACTGCTAAAAGCAAGAAGAGCTCCTTGCCTTCTAAATAGTATGCATGTATGTACCTATATACATGTACGATCATAATATCCAATCAACACATTGGAAGCCCAAGAGAGTCAAAGAAATGTGAGAATTAAGATTCTACACTGAATGAGATGGAAGTGTAAAGGGTAAAGATGGTGAAGAGAGAGAGAATCTTGAAATTAAAATCATAGAGAAATTCTAGGTGTTAGGAAGAATAATATCTAAAGCTTAACTATGAGAACAAGCAGCCCACCTGGGAGCGGAAAATGATGGACCATGGTATTAGAAAAATCACTGACCTGAATATTTAGGTCTCAAAACAAAAACTAAGGCAGACAAAGTGGCACACACCTATACTCTCAGCACTCTGGGAGGCTGAGACAGGACTAGTGCAAATCTGAGCCCAGTTTGAGCAATACTGAAGTCTGATGGCCTCACATTAACAAGACTCTCACAAAATGAATGAAAATGAAAGCCAGGGCTGTAGCTCAGGGCAGAGGCTCTGGGTTCAATCCCCAGTACAGGAAAACAGAGACAGACAGACAGACAGACAGACACACACACACACACACACACACACACACACACACACACACACAAGCCTCAGTAACAGTGAGGCAGAGCCAGAACCTTGGGAACTGCCGGGAAGGGGCACAGGTAATAGCAGCTGACTGCAGTGAAGGGCAGCTGTTAGGATCCGAGGCACACGAATCTGCTGACAGCTCTGATTCTTAATTTCATGCTTGGTGCATCCATTTTCAGCCTTTGTTTTCTGACCACTTAAGGCTTCAGATTTCCCTTTCAGTACAACTGTGACCGCATCCCAGGTGGCCTGGCATGTAGGGTCTCATGACTGTGCAGTCCTACATATTTTCAAAGTTCCTGTTTGCTCTGTGAGTTATTTATAAACACACTGCTTCACTGTTTTGTTTTTTAACACAAGCTCTTTCCTCTGGCCTAATTTAGGGGCACCTCTTGTGTCCCTGCAGCCCTCTGTCATCTCACCTCTTGTCCTGGCGTAGGTAGCATATTTATGTCTCCCACTAGACTCTCAGTGTCCTAGCTGTGAAACAGGAATGAAAGAACCTTGCAAGGAATGACTGAGCGAATGTCTCCAACCTAGCACTCCTCAAGCATTCCCCTTTTCCCGTGTCCCCATCTTCCTCCTGTCCTTCTGGCCTATGACCTCTGACTCTGCTGTCCTAGATCCACCTTCTTCACATCATACTTTTTTTTTTGAGATTGGGTTTCACTATGCAGTTCAGGCTCGCCTTGAACTCATAGCAATCTTCCTGCCTCAGCCTCCCCAGAATGTGGGGATGATAGACATGCACCACCATGCCTGGCCACACACCACACTTCTTATTTTAGTAAAGATCTGCTGGGCGTGCTGCATGCTTTTCATTAAACTGACCATGGGGAGGGGCACAAAGATAAATAAGGCCTTGTTCTTGAGGAGCTCCCATCAGGTAAGGAAAACACTTGGAAAGTACGGAGGGAGAGACACTTGCAGAGCACTCTGAGAGTCCTGAGAGGGAAGACCTGACTCAGCCTAGGTGTCCCACAGGCCAGGAAGCCTTTGAGCATCTAAACCCCTCCTGACACTGATGTCACCTCTCTGCCCGCCCTCCCAGACCTACGAGCAGCGGAAGGTGGTGGAGTTCACCTGCCACACAGCCTTTTTCATCAGCATCGTGGTGGTGCAGTGGGCTGACCTTATCATCTGCAAGACCCGCCGTAACTCAGTCTTCCAGCAGGGCATGAAGTGAGCGCCAGCCACCAAAGGCCCCAGGCTCTCCCCAGCCCCTGCACTGAACCAGCAGTTTCCCCGTGCCTTCTCCCCCATCTCAATCACACTCATAAATGTTTCTTCCCAGAAACAAGGTCCTACTCTTTGGGCTCCTGGAGGAAACACTGCTGGCGATTTTTCTGTCCTACACTCCAGGCATGGACAAGGCTCTGCGAATGTACCCACTCAAGTAAGCAGGAGGGTGCCAGCAGGCGAGTCTCCGGGCACAGGCAAGGTGGTCACCAGCTAGGTGCCACCTGGATCGATGGGCTGTGTGTTTAGTGACTGTGCCCCAGGAAGGAAGTGCTTGGGGGAGGAAGTGGTCACAGCCATTCCACATGTGCATCTAGCTGCCTGCCAGTGTTTAACAGAGAAGAAGAATCTTTCTTTAGGGTGACAGGTGGTGTAGCTGTGCAAGGATGTAGCTGAAGTAGCTCTAAAAATAGCCTAATCTAAGCTTAGCTAATTCTGCTGTATTTAGGCCAATATGTTTTGATATATATGTGTGTGAGGGAACACTGAAATTCTGTCAGATGCCTTTTCCTGTTCTTTGTTGGTTTGCTGTGTTGTTTTCATTTTGGTTTTGTCTAATTTTGGTTTTGGATTGGTTTGGTTTGGTTTGGGTTTGATTTTTGAGACGTGACCTTGCTCTACAACCCAGGCTGGCCTCAAACTTACAATCACCCTGCCTCAGCCTCCCAAGTGCCAGGATTATCGACATCCACCACTACACCTGGGTATTTTGTCCTAGCATTATATGTGCTTGTGAGCTTTTTAAATTTTAAAATCTACAGGGAAGGTGGAAACACCGTTCCATGATCATGCACCTACCTGCTGCATAGGCAGCCTCTGCTCATGATTTAGTGTGGATTCTTCCAACTCATTTCCTGTGCATTGACATTGCTTTATTCATCTCTCCATTCCCTGCAGTGTTGTACACAATGGTTTATACAAGATAGTTGTTCAACTGATGTTTAATAGGAGGCCCTTATGGACTGACAGTACCAAGTTTGAATCTCGCTGTGTGCTATTCTGTGGCCTTGGAGAAGTAGGCAACAATTCTGAGCCTCTGCTTCGTCTGTAAAATTCCAATAATACACACTTCCCAGGGCCGGAGAGTGGAGCTCATCGGTAGGACACAAGCTTACCCTCTGTGAAGTTTGGGGTTTGGTCCTCAGCACACCCCAAAACAAACAAACAGACAAACAAGAAACAGGCACTGTGCCACTGAGCTGTATCCCCTCCCTACCCAGGAAACAGGAACAAAAACACCTCAACTAAACAAAACAAAACAAACAAAACTCACCTGGAAGAGTGTTGAGAATTACACCCAGAAATGGGTGTGTGGGAGGGTTGTGATAGATACTTTGTTAATAGCAGCTTTATTATTGTCGTATTATGTACATAAAGAAGTAATGACACACACAGTGACTACTATCTGTCCACTCTTCTATATACCTTGGCCTTGGGGCTGAGTGCCCCATCCTGTGATTATTTTTTGTGCACTTGCCCTCTTCTCTCTGACCTCCCTGAGCTCCCCAGGTCAAATGCTATCATGTAACATTTTTATCTCCTCGATGTGTAACACAGAGGCGGCACCCATGGCCACTGTTCAGTGAGAGGCATCTGTCTCTCAGAGTTTACATCCGAGGTGCACATGTGTGGAGAAGGAACCTGACCCCACTGTGGTAGCTGTTCTCCACATATATGGGACTGCCATGCTCTCAAAACAGGGCTAGTTGAGCCCAAAGAACTAAATTTATAATTTTAATTTTCATTCATTTAAAGTTTAAAAGTTAAAGCAGCACTAACTGTATGTTAAATACCACTTCATTTGTCTTTTGGTTGGGCTACATTTCCCCGTAATTGTTGAAAATTTAGTACATGGGTTGAAATGTGCCATCAGCGTAAGATATCCATCAGATTTGTAAGACTTACAATGGAAAGAAGAATGTAAACTATGTCATCAATAATGCTGGTATTGGTTACATACAGTTAAGTGATAATATTTTAGTTAAGTCAAGTAAAATTACTAAGATTAATTTTCCTTATTTAATTTAGGTATTAGAAACTTTTTTTTTTTTTTTTTTAGACGATCTCACTATGTAGTACAGGCTGGCCTTGAATTCACTATGTAGTGTAGGCTGGCCTCAAACTCACAACAATCCTCCTGCCTTAGCCTCCAATGTGCTAGAATTATAGGCATGTGCTACCACACCTGGCTAGATATTGTTAAATACTGGATGTGGTTCATACTGTGTTTCATTTGGGCAGTGCCATTGGGCTAGGCCATCTCTTCTCTTTGTTACCCAACAGAACAACTTTGGTCCTGATTCAGTCCCTATCCAGAATTCATCTTTCTGGTATCTAATTATAGAAAGGGGTTCAGGAGGAAACACAAGGCCTCCCTTTTTTTGCAGTGTGGGAGAATATAAGAAATTCTTGGGTATAGTGGTGCTTGCCTGTAATCCTAGTACTTGGGAGGCTGAGGCAGGCGGATCGCTGTGAGTTTGTGGCCAGTCTTATCTACATAGTGAGTTCAACACCAGCCGGAATTGCACAATGAGACCCTGACTCAAAAGACCAAAGGAAATTCTGCCCAGTACCTTGCCTTGTTCCACTTGCAGGCTTTTGTTATGAGAGAAATAGGAACACCCTGTGCTAGATGTCTGGGGCTGTCACAGATAAACCTTTCCTGCTCCGGAGGTGTAAAGCTTAGAGTATGCAGAGAGCAAAGGGCCTCTCCCTCAGCAACTCTGGATTTTAGAAGATAGACTCTATAAACAGTGCAGGTGCCTCTGAATATGACATTTAGACAGTGCTTGGCGCATCCCATTGTCTCCTCTGCACCCCTCACCCCTCAACCCCAAGGCTCTGACCTCCTCACAGGAAGGGATTAGCTCTATCTCACCTCGAAGTCTCTGGTACTCGTCATGGTCTCAGGCACATACAGTGGATGCAATCATGAAACCTAATTCCTGGGCACTGTTTGCTATGCCCGCCCTTCCCGTCTCCATATCGTCTGCCACACTGGCCAACTGTTACTCCCTGCAGGATAACCTGGTGGCTCTGCGCCGTTCCCTACAGCATTTTTATCTTCATCTATGATGAAATCCGGAAACTAATCATGCGTAAACGGCCTGGAGGTGAGGCTCCCCTGGGCCCTGCTCAGAGTAGGCACCAGCCCCATGAGAAGCTCTCTTGTCTTGCCTGACTCCTCCAGATCCACTGGCTTCACCCACACCCCACTGCCTGCCCCTCTCTGGACACCCCCCCATCTCCTCCAGGGTTCAGTGTGGGCTCCACGCCACAGGCCTCCAACTTCCTCCTCTCCCTCCTGCTAAGCTGCCCTCCTTGCCTCCCCCGCCGCCTTCTCCCAGCTCACTCTGGTCTCTGCTCCTCCACAGGCTGGGTGGAAAGGGAGACATACTACTAAACTCAGCAGAGGAGCTTCTTGCGACGGGTGCCACAGGAGCCAGGACTATTTTGACACAACATCTGAGAGAGCAAATGAGTTGGGGCAGAGACACTGGACAAATTGCCTTGGAGGAGAGTGACAGGCAATCCAGAGGCAGGACTGAGGGTGTCACGGTGGGGAAGTGGGGTGGGTCGAGGGGAAGCCCAGAAGGGAGGGGATGGTCCTGTTGAATCCAGTAGCCAGTTGAGATAATAAATATTTGTAACAGTCTTCACCTGGCTGAATGCATCAATCTGATTTTTTGAGAGTGGGGATCTCAATATCTTCATAGCCAAGCAAAGGAAGACTTCCAGGAACCTAAATGGAAGATGGGAGAGGATCCGAATCAAGCATCCTTGCCCCCGGAAGGATCTCAGTGTTACTCTTGATCTCTTCAGGAGCAAGAGCAAAATACTCACTCTAAAAATGCAGCTGGAGCCAGGTATGGTAGCACATGCCTGTAATCCCAGCCCTCAAGAAGCTGAGGCTCAAGTTCAAGTTCATCCTGAACTACCTAGCAAGACCCTATCTTAAAAAACAAACAAAACAAAACAAAAGTGCAATTGGAATCAGAGATTTAGAAGAGGGTAAAGAAGGTGATGACTGAGGAGCAGCTGTGCCACATCCCCAGAGGAGGCTGTAGCACTCATACCTAGACCCACATCCAGGTTGGTGAGGCCAAATCGTCCAACCCCTGCCTTGGACCTCCATAAGTTAGCATCAGAGCAGAGCTATAGCACAGGCTGGAAGAGACCTGACTTTCCCAGGGAAGAACCTTGGGTCTGGAGAGGTTAAATGACTCGGGAGCAGTCACATGGTAAGGGATGTCCCCTGAGCCAGACTGATGGTCCTGCCCCTTTCCCCCACCATGGGAATATCTCAATCCTTCTACCTGTCATCTCTAGTATAGTCTTAAAATAGCGGCTACACAAATTCTAGATAAGCACTCTGCTACTGAGCTACACCTGTATGCTGCCCAGGTCTTAGGTGAGTGGAAAGTCCCAGGGAGCCCCTAGTCTACTCACCTCCTCTCTTCCCTCCCACCCCTTGCCTGGCCACTGAGCCCTCCACTCTGCCCCACAGCTTAGTTCATTCTCAGGCATCTTTCAGAGCACGGGGTTGGGTCTACCCATTAGTAGACAGGATGAGAGAGATGCTCAGCAAAGCTGGGGGTAGAGGAGAGAAACCAACTGGAAATGCAATCCTGGAGCTACGACTGGAACAGGTAAAATCTCAGCACTGAAGCTGGAACCTGTGCCTCTGGAAACTGCGATTTGAAATTCCTGCCACCGCTGCTGAGTCTGAATTGGCACAGCAAGGACAGAGACTCTGTCTCTGAGAGCAGGAATCAGCAAACAGAGTTGAGAGCGGGACTGGTGGGGAGCCCTGCACCAACCTGCGGTGAGTGAGAGGAATGGGGACCCTTTCATAGACTAGGAGGCTCCAACAGAGGACATTCTCGGACCGGGCAGACTACCCAGAACAGGACACTGCAGTGACTTTAGTCGCATATTCCCCTCTCAAGCAGGATTGGTGGGGAGTGCTTGGTCTGGGTGATGCCACAGACTAGGACTCAGTAGGCTAGCCCAAACCAGGTCCCAGCACCTGTCGGTGCACCCTAGCAGTGAAGCCTTCAGTAGGTTGACCTGGAGGGGCAGGCCCAGCAGAGGCTCCCCAGGGCTGTGTCTCCCTAGTACACTGCAGTGGGAGGGAACACCTAGCTAGCAAGATTCAAACAAACTGTAAACAACAAAGAAAGAGACTAGGCCTCCTATATACGCCTGTATGGAAGGAACAAAAAATATAAGAAGAGGAGACAACAAGAAAGGGTCCTTGGCCCCCAATCCTGAGAACACTGATCCAGGAAAGGTAAATGCAAAGGAGAATGAGGACAGAAAACATGCAATATCAGACATGGCACCAATAAACATAAAGTGTTATCTCCGGAGCCTCATTAGATGAGTTCAAAAGTGAAGTATTTAATGAAGTAAAGCAAGATATAAGTAGAATAGTTAGAGAAATGCTAAGCACCGCCCAAGAAAAAACAGATGATGGAATGGAAGAACAGAAAAAAAGGGGAGAATTGTTTGATGGAGAAAATAAAGAAAACATAGAATACATGAAGCAGGTTCAAAGAGATTACCAGGAAACTAAAAACTCTATTGAAAGCTGGCATAACTACTTGAAAGAAACTAAGAATAGATTATCTGAACTGGAGGACAGATTTGTAATGTGGGAGCATGAAATGAAAAACTTCTTAAAAATAACAAGGAAACAAACAGCAATAATACAAAGGCTAAAAGATGATAAGAGGATCTATAATTTAAGAATTACGGGGGCTGGGGATTTAGCTCAGCGGCATAAGCACCTGCCTTGCAAGCAGGCAGTCATGAGTTCAATCCCCAGTACCGATAAAAAAAAAAAAAAGAAAAAACAGTGTAAAAAAAAAAAAAAGAATTAAGAACGTTGTAAAGTCATAGGTGCAAAAAAAAAAAAAAGAATTAAGAACGTAAAAGAAGAAGTAGGGACACAAACAAATGAACTACAAAGGCTATTCACAGAAATAATCCAGGAGAATTTCCCTAATTTAGCAAAAGGTAAAGATACTCAGATGTATGAGGCATACAGGACTCTAGCCACCCACAACCCAAACAGAACTATACCCAGGTATATGATAATCAAAATTCCAGAAATCCAATATAAGAACAGAATATTAAAAGCCATCAGAGACAAGAAACAGATCACTTACAAGGGAACACCCATCAGAATTATAGCAGACTTCTCGGCACAAGCCATCAAATCACGAAGAGCGTGGGGGGAAATAATTCAAGCTTTGAAAGATAATAACCTCCAGCCAAGATTGATATATCCTGCACAACTGTCCCTAGAAATTGATGGAAAAACAAGGTACTTCCAGGATAAAGAGGAACTAGGGGAATTTGCAACCACCAATTCAACTCTACAGAGAATACTGCAGGACATTCTAAAAAAGAAAAATACCAAGATTCCAGAAACAGTGGCAGAGAGGCCACAATGAATGGAGCAGAAAGTGAAATGAAGAAGACAAACTGACAACTAATGACAGAAAAAGAGCTCAAGAGAAATGAGGCAGAGAAGGTTGGATGGTATAAACAGCTATTTTGGAGAAAAGAAGACATCATAATAGCTAGGGCTGATTTAATATCATCTTGTTTTGAAGTCCCATCAAGCTTTTGTTCTTCTGTCTCCATCGGTCTTAACATGTTGTATCTTATTGGATTTTATTATATGTGACAATATAAGCAAAAACTTTTATAGACAAGGAGATTATTCAGAAACCATTGTTCATTTTCTGTTGATTCTAAATACCCTGTAATACTGTTATTCTCTTGAATGGTTTTACATTGTCTTGGTATGTTTGATGTTACAGTATACAAAGTTATACTCAAAGATTTCAAGGAAAGAGACAATGTGGTAAATACTTTTTATGTCGGGATATCTTGTGGTGAAACACTATTTTGTTTCAATGGTTATGTTTGGACTTGTGCTGTTTTGTTGTTATGTCCCCTTTAACTCAATCTCCTTTGTTTATTATTTACTTTTTAATTTTTATCTTTTTAATTAAGGGAAAATAAATAAAAAATATTAGAATATATTATAGTAACCCACTTTGATTGCCTATTAACTTGATGAAACCCTGTATTGCTCTCACCATCTTGTTTTGACTGATTTTCTCTTCTGTTTTGCTTGATAGTACCAAGTTTGAGAGTATAAGCAACACCTGTGAAGACAGTAAAATTCATTATGATGCCCATTCTGGTTTGACTATTATCTTCATTTGAAGTCCTGTAATGTCTCCAATGTTTTGGTTTTATTGGTTTTGTTCTTTACTGTTTTGTTCAATTTTATTATAACTGATGATATAGGCAGTTCTTTTTAAGATGGCAAGAGGCATTATGGTAATCATTGTTGATCACCTTGTATTTTGTTTTTACATTATATATCATGTCCATCCTTTTGATTTGACTGACTCTGTTTTGTTATGTCACATTTGGTTTTATTCTCTTCAAAAAGAAGTAATAAGAACTGTGGGAGTAATAAAACCCAAAATGTGTAATCATTATACAAAAGAGAAGAAATGAAAGTGCTCTAAAGGACATAACTGCATGTATATTTAAGTGTATAAGATAGATAACCATATTACTGAGTTTTGTTGGATCACTGAACACAACTGTTTCCAGTCTCACTGTTTGAAAGTCCACTTTATATGCTTTAATTTTGTAACTTGAACAACTATTTCTAAGATGATAATATGTAATCTATAAACTAGTGATTTCCTACCGTTTATTTTTTCTGAAATTCTGTATAACTTGTACCCTTTTTCTGCTTTTTTTCTTTTTCTCCTTAAATAAAATTAAAAAAACAAAAAGCTGGGGGGGGGCCACCATGAACTGTTGCCAGGGATGAAGCACCAGTATTAAGTGCATGCTGTGCATAGGGCACCATCAATGAATTCCCACGTCTACTTTTACCACGCCCTCCTGTATCACAGATCAGGAAACCAAGGTCTGTGTGAATCCAGAACTGTGCTCTTCTTTACCTTTTTGCAGACCAGCCTTACACCGAGAGCCGAACCAAACCACAAATACAAAATGAAACCCAAACACAAGATAGGGGTGGGAGAAGGGTCACTGGCTGGGCTAGAGGATGAGGCTAGTGAGGAGGGCCATCTCACCACAGGGATAGCCAGCCCTTCCTTCCCCTATACCAGGCCCCTGCTTGGAGGTCTCATTCTATCCAGGACCCCTTAGGTCTCACAGCACCAGGTCTCCTGGGGTCAAGGCTGTATCAGTCTGGGGTCCTTCCTTGCTGCTGACAAGGCTGAACCAGACCCTGGAGGATGGAGGGGCCAGGAGGTATGCAAGTGAGGTGGGGAGGGGGAGCAGCCAGTGGCCAGCTCCTCGGATTTCAGCAGCAGGAGCTTTGGGTGTCTGGTGGGTTAAAAATACAGAGGCCCCAACTCAGGGTCATTTGATACCAGTGGCTGAGGCCTGTTAAATCCAAGGGGCTGAAGGCAGGGGCCTAGAGGGAAGAAAATCAAGCAGAAAGTAGAGAGCAAAGCCTCAGAGAGAGGAGGGGTGCAGGGTATAGGAGCTGGAAAGGATGAGAGAAAACTAGCACCAGAAAGGTCAACCAGAGCGAGCTGCGCTGAAAAAGACCAGGAGATGGAGGGGTCCTAAGTCCCCGTGAGTCCCACCTCACACCCTTGAGGTACCAAAGGTCCAGCTCAGGATGGAGCCAGTCCGACATTCCAGTGTCTCGGCCCAAATGTTTGCCCTTTCCCAGAAGCCACAGAAGGGAGAAATAGGCACTGGTGGTCATTTGGGGCATTCAGTGGGCAGGCCTGCCCATTGTCTTGGCTCTAGCTGTGAGCTCTGGCACTCCAGCACTCTCCGGGAGCACAGAAGATGGAATCCTGAGGTCTCTTTAGCTCTAACGGGCCATGCTTGGGCTGGTGTGTGCCTCTCCTGCTCCGGTGACAGCTGTCCTTCTTGGATCCACTCCTGCCATGCACTTGAGATTTTCTGCAGCTTTTCTTTCTTAGCTGAGTAAGATCTGCCCCACA